CAAAATAAACTAAAACATATCATAAGATCCGTTTGAGGTGGAGACACGTGGTCGGAGATGCTCGAATGATTTGGGAGCACGACGAACTCTATGAAGAAAAAGACCTTTGTCTATTTTTCTTAGGTCGTATATATTTTATTTCAGAGTTAATAAATATACAAAAACGAACGTCGGATGTCAATTCTCCAAATTGCAATGCCCAAAGAAAAGAAAAAAGTCTTCAACTTGTCGCATAATTGGAAAACTATATACATATATGATATCATTGTTGGAATTTTTAAAAAATTATTATGGTGTATCCTGTTGTCGATTAAGTATTTTGTTTTCCACTATTTATAATATTTTAAAAACTAGTAGAGGAGAAGTAATTGGTAGGGCATAAAAACGTACGTGAGAAAGTGACAAGCCACTAATTGTATAAAATCACATGCCCTCTCATTGACGCCATGTTCATCTCCCATTGCACTTACACCATCTGTCTCTTAATTTAATTTTAATAGTAGTTTTTTAATCTTTGTAAGTTCTTTCCAAAATATATTTCTTTCTTTGCCGTAAATTTACAGTGCATCAGCTATTGTATGTGTGTGTGTGTTTCTACGTCTATATGAAGTATAAGCTGATATAACTAAGCCACATTATCGATTGTGAGTTACTGTAAAGTTAAATAATGATACCCATCATTCACCAATGTTATGATTCAAAGTGTGACCTTCGAATATTGAAATATAAGATTCGATTTAATAGACAAGTTGTAAAACATCTCTGAATTGCGTATTTCTATTACCTATTATTTTGTTACTGAGGCTATGTTTTTTTTTTGTTTTATCATGATCTTTGTGTTAAGTTACATGGGCTTCCAAACTCAAAACCAATTGGCCATGAGTGGAGATGCCCACATCCCTTATATGCTACTTGAGATCCCTTCCAACTTCCGATGTGGGACATTTATCCCTAATATGCCCCCTCAAGACAATGGCTCTTTAGCCATCAATCTTGGTATGTTCGGGCTTGGATCACCAGCACCAATTTTAGGCATGGTCGATGATTGGACCAACTATAGATCGGATCGGGTTGGAATGTATGGATCGAGACTCTGATACCATGTTAAGTTATATGGGCTTCCAACTCAAAATCAATTGGCCATGAACGGAGATGCCCACATCCCTTATATGCTACTTGAGATCCTTTCCAACTTCCGATGTGGAACATTTATCCCTAATACCTTGTTTTCATTAACAATGTAAACATGTGTTTTTTTTTTACAATGCTGTAAAATGGCTTTGCTTCAGAAAAGAAAAGTAATACTATAAAAGAAAATAAAATAATTAACGAAAGAAGATTATGGGAAAAGACCAATGAACACGTTATTAGCTTGGGACATGGATTTGAGATGATGATTTATATTTTATAACGTGGATCCTCTGTATTTGCATGTTTCCACATTGATCCGGTCCTGATTATATTAAAACGTATTCACCTTCATTGCTGTTTCTTTTTGGTCTCTACTGCTGTTTGGATATCAAAGAATATTACTCAAAAATATATATATATATATGTATATATATATAGGGTTGGCAACTAATTGCAATGTTTATTTTCATAAAGGTTTTTGAATTTCAAGTAAGAGAAGAAAATGTTTTACATAGCCTACAATCTGAGTAAAAAACATGTTTTTTGGTTGTCCCGGTGAAACAATAAGTTTTCAAACAGGGTTCTGAAAGGAATATATATATTTCTAGTCAATTTGTATGTTTATTTTTTGGTCAACCTAGTCAATTTCTATGTTGTATGAGCTTAGTTATGAAAATTGACTATCTCCTTGCTTGGAATATCCATTAATTTTGCTACTTTTACAGAGAATGTATTTTGCTGATTTGGTAGATCTATTGACTATGTTATTGTACTTGGCAGGCTCATTAACTCTCTCTGTAACAATTGTACTCTCTACTAACTTGGCAAGTCCACTTTAGCCAAAAAAAAACAAAAAAAAGCTTTGGCGAGTCGATGGTTATGTTTTTGGTATAAACTTTACTCTATTGACTTTAGAGATTCATTCACTATACTAATTTTGCAGAAAATTATTATGCTTACTTGACGGATCCTTTCATAGATCAGTAACAAACGATATATGCTGAGTCGTGATTTCCCAATTACTTTGGTTTTGTATCATCTTGAAGAACTTGTTTATTTGTGGGATTAACTGAACTCGGAATTGAAGATAACTTGGGGTGATTTCATTTTTGATGATTTTGGGTGAATTAGAGAAGTTGTTATGATTTAATTGAAAACATTAAAATTCCATTTAAACCATGGTATTTTGATTCGTATATTTTTAACCAAGTGCTCAACTAAAACACCTTCAAAACCTAAAATTCATCACTTTAAATATTTCTAATAACAATATATTTTAAAGTATATTTTAAAATTACAAATTCAATAACATTAGATTTTAAAATATTTTATAAACAAATTGTTTGAATAGTGGATTTATCATTTTAATACAAATAACTCAAAATCATATGCTACAAACAATATTTTATTAACATTTACTTTTCCTAAAATTTATAAATATGTAGCTTGAATTTGGATGATTCGTAAGCATTTTATTAAAGTCTATTGACTTTAGATATTCATTCACTATACTAATTTTGCAGAAAATTATTATGCTTACTTGACGGATCCTTTCATAGATCAGTAACAAACGATATATGCTGAGTCGTGATTTCCCAATTACTTTGGTTTTGTATCATCCTGAAGAACTTGTTTATTTGTGGGATTAACTGAACTCGGAATTGAAGATAACTTGGGGTGATTTCATTTTTGATGATTTTGGGTGAATTAGAGAAGTTGTTATGATTTAATTGAAAACATTAAAATTCCATCTAAACCATGGTATTTTGATTCATATATTTTTAACCAAGTGCTCGACTAAAACACCTTCAAAACCTAAAATTCATCACTTTAAATATTTCTAATAACAATATATTTTAAAGTATATTTTAAAATTACAAATTCAATAACATTAGATTTTAAAATATTTTATAAAAAATTTGTTTGAATAGTGGATTTATCATTTTAATACAAATAACTCAAAATCATATGCTACAAACAATATTTTATTAACATTTACTTTTCCTAAAATTTATAAATATGTAGCTTGAATTTGGATGATTCGTAAGCATTTTATTAAAGTCTATGAATTAATATTATATAAATATTAGTCAAAAATATTTAATACTTAATTGTAAGATAAAATCTCATGTAATTAATTATTGTATACCTAATTATATATGTATATGATCTGTTAGTATTATAATTTTAATCTATGTGTAAGTATTTTCTTTTAAAATATAGTATTATCTAAATGTTATCTTATCAAATGGTTGAATTATTTTTACTTAAATATCATAGTAAGTTTTCATCAAATTAATAATGTGGGACCAAAATATTTTATTAATTTAATGTAAGATGAATTAGATCAAAAACTTAATTCTTGATCAGAAATTTCTATTAACTTACTAAAGTATTAATTTATAGAGGTTATACAACACATTCATTTCGTGTGTAAATAAAAAAAGATATAGATCTATCTTTAATTATAAATATAGATCAACCGTTAATTATTAATCTATCTTTTTATTTCCCTCACTTTTAACGAACTTATTTCTCACGCTTCTCAACGAACTTTTCTTTCTCGCGTTTTATAACGAACTAATTTTTGTTCTTTAAACAACAAATATTTTGTTTTCCGCATTTTTAACGGTTTTCTTTTTTAATAAAAGAATAGTAAATTTGAAAGAAAAAGATAACAAAAACTTCCAAACTTTTAAACGAAAATGACAGAGGACCGGACCACTCTATCAACGATTATTTTAGGAATCCAACTTTCACATAATGAAAAGACAATTATCTTGACGAAAAACAAATCTGTATCCTGTCTTAATCCATGTTGCTAGGACCCCTTAAAAAACATTTCCCCCAAATCTACTCATAAGTGAGTCATGACAATGATTTTTTATTTGTATCAGAGATATTCCTTTCCCCAGATCTCTACATCGGAAATTTGATAAGACAGAAATGGTAAGATTTTTCTTATTTTCATTAGTCAACTTTTTTATTCGACTTTTTCTTAATGAGTTTCCTATATAAAGTCTCGAAAACATTACAACAATCCTCGTAAATCGCTCTCCTCCATAGATTCTAAAGCCGCCAGAGGAACTGATGTAATGTGCAAATCTTTTTGTTTATTTTTTATTCATCTTTTCCGAGAAAATAAGTGATCCCGGCGGTGAGATTTTTCCCGGCAGATTCTCTAGGGAACTTACTCCAACCTTTAGAAGAAGAGAAAAAAAACTCTTTTTTGGTAGCAATAATGATCTTTTTTTTCTTTTTGACTTCATTTGAACCAATAATTTGAAAAACCAATTCTTGTCCGTATTGTAGGTTCCATGCTGGAGCCTGTTCGAAATAAAAATTAATCTCCAAACTTGGCAAAGATCAAACAGAGTCCATATCAAATCAACCCTATTCCAACGCCTCTTTTTCTCTTGATTTTTCTATATAAACCGGAGAAACGGACAGGCAGAGAAAGAGAAGCTCTCAATTGCCGCAGGATTCTACTTTAGAACAAAAGGTAAGACCTTTTTCATTTCCCACAAAGTGAAGCTATCTTTTGAGCTTTATCTCTTCTCTTTCACATAGCTTCCTTTTACTGAGGAGGAAACTACAAAGCTTTTCCATTTCCCTCCTAGGTTTCTCCATCTTTCATTTTCATCTATGATCTTTATGTTTAGTTTTTGTGTTTTAATCTGATCATTTGCCTTTACATCAGAATTATCATACTTGGAATTGATTGTGATTTAGATCTGGATTGTTTTTTTACCTCTTCCTCTGTTTCATGGTTGACTGAAAGTTTGAGACTTTGAAAATGGAGAATCACTGAATCGTAAACTGATTTGAATTTTGATGGTTTGTTTACTGTTTTAGGATTTGTCTGAACAATGAAAGGAGCGACCCTCGTTGCTCTCGCCGCCACAATCGGCAATTTCTTGCAAGGATGGGACAATGCAACCATTGCTGGTTTGTTCTCTTTTGTGTTTTCTCACTCTTTTGCTGCAATTGAATTAGTTTGGATCAGATCAGTAAATCTTTTGGAAATTTTGATATTGTAGGAGCTATGGTTTACATCAACAAAGACATGAATCTAGCGACCTCAGTGCAAGGTCTAGTGGTGGCAATGTCACTGATCGGTGCAACAGTCATCACGACTTGCTCAGGACCGATCTCTGACTGGCTCGGGAGACGCCCCATGCTGATTCTATCATCGGTCATGTATTTCCTCAGCGGTTTGATAATGCTTTGGTCACCGAATGTCTATGTTCTCTGCTTAGCTAGGCTTCTTGATGGTTTCGGCGCCGGTCTTGCGGTCACGCTCGTCCCTGTTTACATCTCCGAGACCGCTCCTCCAGAGATCAGAGGACAGCTGAACACTCTCCCTCAGTTTCTTGGCTCTGGTGGGATGTTCTTGTCTTACTGTATGGTTTTCGCCATGTCCTTAAGCGATGCTCCTAGCTGGAGAGGCATGCTCGGTGTCCTCTCGATACCTTCTCTCGTTTACTTGTTCTTCACCGTGTTTTATCTCCCCGAGTCTCCTCGTTGGTTGGTTAGTAAAGGAAGAATGGAGGAAGCCAAGAAGGTTCTTCAACAGTTATGTGGCAGAGAAGATGTTACAGATGAGATGGCTTTGCTTGTTGAAGGACTAGACATTGGAGGAGAGAAGACAGTAGAGGATCTCTTTGTGGCTTTAGAGGATCATGACAACCTCGAAACCGTTGACGAGGATGGACAGATGCGTCTTTACGGAACACACGAGAACCAATCCTACATTGCAAGACCTGTCCCGGAACAGCAAAGTCAGAGCTTGCTAGGTCTACGCTCTCGCCATGGAAGCTTAGCGAACCAGAGCATGCTCCTCAAAGATCCACTCGTTGGTCTGTTCGACAGTCTCCACGAGAAGATGCCTGAAGCTGGCGGAGACTCCAAGAGCGGGATCTTCCCTCGTTTCGGAAGCATGCTCAGCAACGCCGGCGATGGCAAACCAGCTCACTGGGAGAAAGATGTGGAGAGCCAGTTCAACAAAGACCATGACGACTACGCGACTGACGATGGTGCTGGCGATGATGACTCGGACAACGACCTGCGTAGTCCGTTGATGTCACGCCAGACCACGAGCATGGACAAGGACATGATTCCTCATCCTACAAGCGGAAGCACGCTGAGCATGAGACGGCACAGCACGCTCATGCAAGGTGGGAACGGAGAGAGCAGCATGGGGATTGGTGGTGGTTGGCACATGGGGTACAGATACGACAATGGTGAGTACAAAAGGTATTACCTTAAGGAAGACGGCTCTGAGTCTCGCCGTGGCTCCATCATTTCTCTTCCCGGTGGTCATGAAGCTGGAGGCAGCTACATTCACGCTTCGGCTCTGGTGAGCAGATCCGTTCTTGGTCCTAAATCGATGCATGGATCCGCCATGGTTCCACCGGAGAAGACCGCTTCCGCTGGACCGCTCTGGTCTGCTCTTCTTGAGCCTGGTGTCAAGCGTGCGTTGGTTGTTGGTGTTGGCATTCAGATACTTCAGCAGGTCAAAAATGAAACCTTTTGATGTTTCTTTCACCATTTCTTGGATTATATTGAGTTCTTGATTGACTAACATTTCTTGCATGTAGTTCTCTGGTATCAATGGAGTTCTCTACTACACTCCTCAGATTCTTGAACGTGCTGGAGTAGACATTCTTCTTTCGAGCTTCGGGCTAAGTTCGATCTCGGCGTCGTTCCTGATCAGTGGATTAACAACGTTACTCATGCTTCCAGCGATTGTTGTTGCCATGAGGCTCATGGATGTCTCTGGAAGAAGGTAAAAAGCTAAAAACTTTTTGTCCTGATTCCTTGTTTTCTCATGATCCTCTGTTTTTCTGAGACCATCTCTGTTTTTGCTTTTGCAGGGCATTGCTTCTCTGGACGATCCCTGTTCTCATCGTCTCGCTTGTGGCTCTCGTCATCAGCGAGCTTGTCCACATCAGCAAAGTCGTGAACGCGGCGCTGTCCACGACATGTGTTGTGCTCTACTTCTGCTTCTTCGTGATGGGCTACGGTCCGATTCCAAACATCCTCTGTTCTGAGATCTTCCCAACAAGAGTCCGTGGTCTCTGCATCGCCATTTGCGCCATGGTTTTCTGGATTGGAGACATCATTGTCACCTACTCGCTCCCCGTACTCCTCAGCTCCATCGGACTCGTTGGTGTTTTCAGCATTTACGCAGCGGTTTGTATTATCTCATGGATCTTCGTTTACATGAAAGTCCCTGAGACTAAAGGCATGCCGTTGGAGGTTATCACTGACTACTTTGCCTTTGGAGCTCAAGGTCAAGCTGAAGCTCCTTCTAAGGATATATAGTTTTATAACCTTTGATTCTTCTTTTTTATTTGCTCTGTGTACTTAAAGATTCTCTCCATCCCCTCTTTTTTGGTTTCTGAGATACCTTCATTTCGTTTTTGTTTTTCCTTTGTTATTCTCTCGAAACCAATCTTATAATTACTCATTTTTATCTCTTAATTTGACAATTTTCACACTGAATGCATTGCTAACGAGTATTGATACTTGTCGAAGATTTGAGACTGAAAGCTTTTTCATTTTCTCTTCCAAGATCTGATGGTAAAGCAAAACATAAAACATAGGTTTAAGGTTTTTAAAAGGTTTACTACAAAGAATATATCCGGTTTCTTGGAATGCAAGTATGATTCTCAAGTGCTGTATAGAACGATCTCGACGGAAAACTCTATATACAATTAGCTTAGTACGTCTCAGGAGGACTTGTGCGTCTCCTCAGAGGATGCATCTCCTGAATGATTCTCCTGAGAATTCTTCTGAATATTCTCGTCGTCGAGCTTGCCTGAGAACTTGTACGGCCTCTGAAAATCTCTGGCATTTTGACTGTCAATACCGAGATTATTCAATTTCTCCTCCTGTAAGAAACAACCCATCATCATTCTCGGACCTTATTGATTACTTGTGAAAGACAACAAATTTAGCTCTCAAGAGGGAAAAAAGAGCTTACATTTTGTAAAGCTTCAAGCTTTTTCTGCATAGCTTCATGCTCAGCTCGAATCCGGAAAGGAACACCTCGCTTTTGGTAGACATTGTCCTGGGCAAGGTCTTGGTCGATATCACTAACCGTGGTTGCAAACGGATGATTAGCCGGGATCCATCTGACTGTATCCGGATCAACATCAGGCGGTACCGAGTCTCCTTCTTTCAGGAAAACCGTTGGTCTCTTCCATTGGTAAGCTCTTGACCTTCGTTTCTGATGACTAGTTTGTTCTTTCTCTGTAAGTGTTACTGGAGCTAGCCGATAAACTTTCCCGCACATCTCTACCGTTGAGCTTCCTTTACCGAGTTTCACAAAAGGGTTGTTGAACGGGTCCTCGTAGTTAAGAGCTTTTGAGCTGAACAAGAAAATGAAAAACACCATTAGAGAATTTAGACCAAAGGAAGCACATAAACTCAAGAGTTATAAAGAAGGATAAAGAGTGGGTGAGATTCATACATGCCTCTTCTATCACCAGATCTCAGCTGGCCACGTCTCACAAGATCAGCAACAGAGCCAGCAGGGCGGTTGTCTCTCGACTTTCTTACTACATAAGCCCGAATGGCAGCGACCAAAACAGTAGCTGTGATGCATATCCCGATCCAAACGCTGTTCCCTGAGCACTTCCTCGTCTAAAGAGAGAAGAGATTGAAATACTTCAAATGAAAATCCAAATCCATGTGCGGTTGTAATCAAACAACAGAAGAATCACCACAAGGTTTATCTACTAAACCTATCATTTCCCCTTGAAACCTCACAATCATATATAACCAATCAAAGAGAAAGTGCTTAAGGAAACTAAAAAGGGAACCTTTTTGTGTTCAATCAGTCATCTCGTAGTACTACTTGCTTATCAACTATCCAGAAAAAAATCAGGAAAGATTCAAATCTAAACTCCACCATCAAAGAATTGAATATCATCATATCACAGGTAAAGAGAAACACATGAATTAAGGCCTGGGAAACCGAATTTTTTTAACAGGAAACAATCAAAACTCAAGCAAAAAGATAGAATCATAGTCATACCACGAAGATGACAGGAGGAAGTGTGGTAACCATACTCCGGAATCTCAAAATTGAACTCTCTGAATCACGTGCAACCTTGGTAATCATACTCCGGAATCTAGAAACTGAGTGCTCGGAATCACGGGAAATGTTGGTAATCATACTCCGGAATCTCGAAACTGAATTCTCGGAATCACGGGAAATGTTACTTTGAGCCGTGGCAACCTCATCATCAACATTCTGGGTATTCTGAATTTCTTCATTTGGAGTCGAGGAATCATCATCAACAATCGATTTGCACACGAACCTTCGGCTGGTTTCGACTTGAACCCATTTCAGATTTTCGAGTCTCCTTCTGAACACAACCAAACTTGAAGGAATCCGAAGCTTGGCTCTTCCAAACGACGACTATGGGTACCAAAAAAACGCGAGATTTAAGATTTCAATCACCGAAATAAGGAATTAGACGAGAACAAAGTGCAAGTAACTGAGAAAGGAGAAGCGATGGTTCGATTTTACCTGGAGATTGCAGAGAGAATGGAATTGGAGAGAATCAATGGATGCCATTTCATGCTCTGCTGAGGAAGGGAACAACACTCACTCACCAAGCGGTGTTGACGATTTATTCGACCGTTCATACTATTGTTCATATATGTTTCGTGTACCAATCTGGCAAGGGGATCCGTGGCGCAATGGTAGCGCGTCTGACTCCAGATCAGAAGGTTGCGTGTTCGATTCACGTCGGGTTCAAAAATCCCGAAATAATTCGGAAATCCCCCTTTTTTTTTTGAAGAGATATCTTTTACATAGAAACAGCAAGAAGAAACGGAGAAACGGCACACATGTCTTGGCCGTTGCGAGAATCCAATGGAAGTGGGCCACTTGTTCGGAAAGGTTGGGCCGTTTAGGAGAATCAAAGAAAGACCCAAATATTTATTCCTCAGTCAATTTTGCTGACACTCAAAATTCTCACGGGTGCTTTTTTCTTCACCACTATCAGTATTCCCCAAAAAAGAAATTTTTGATAATCATTCGTAAGGAATCAATCCATTAAATTTAAACTGCATATATAATAGTCGAAATCATCGAACCACCCACTAGAAATGGAATTTTCTAGATGTGCTAAAAGGTCGACACTCAGTACAATCAACAGAGTCTGATGGATTCTCTGCCTTTGCTATTTTGGATTTATCTTTATTTTAATATATGCCTGTTTATGCTCATATTTATATTTAGTATACAATGACTCCACATTGTTGTAAAGTATATAGTAGCATTTGTTTTAGTTTTTTACAAGATACATTTCTTATAACTGTAAATTTAAACAGAAAACTAAATCGATGCCCAAAAAAAAAAAAAAAAAAAAAAAAAAAAAAAAAAAAAACAGAAAACTAAATATTGCATGCAAAGAAACATATGTAAAACGATTTTTTTTTTGTATTTTCTAAATTGTGAACGTTACCCACGTGCTAATTTTGACATGTAACAATAGTGATTTATACGACGTTAGTTTTGTACTTTTGTTTTGCAGATTTAGACGCCTAAATCCACATAAAATAAAAAATAAAAAGAAAAGAGAATAATGGTGTAAGAAAATATACATAAGCTATACCGTGTGAAATACTATTTTACATATACATAAGCTATACCGTGTGAAATACTATTTTACTTAGGGCATGATTGGTTCCCGCTACCACCCGCAAACGCAGCGTTTGCGGTTCGTAGCGGTTTTCGGCGGTTTATAACAATCACGACAACCGCTTTGAATCGCTCTATACCACTCTGTACCGCTCTATATCGCTGAAAATCAAAAGCTCCTTTCCGCAAGCGTTTGCGGTTGCGGGTGGATAATTAAAAAAAAAAAACACAAACTTATATAAAATCCGAAAATAAATAATAATATTTATTAAAAAATAAGATTTGGATAATAAAATCACAATATAAATAAAAAATTAGTACTTTTAGTCAATATTCATTAAAATCATATAATACTTATATATTTATAAGTTCTACAAATCAAAATTCTCTTCATAAATATTCTTTTCATACTAATACATATATATCTAATAAATAAAATTGTAAAATAAATTTAATTTTCACATTAAATATATATTTTGAAAATAAAATCACATTTTTATTTAAATTATAGAAATTAAAAGATAGACGTAAGTATTATACACATATTATTCTTTATAAAAAAATTATTTTTAATTATGTTGAACCATAAATTTAAAATTTTCATTATAATATATTTTGATATTTTTATAATTATATAATGTGTTTATATTATTAATTTATTGTTTAACCGCTATTGCATCCGCAAGTGAACCAGTCATAAGTAACCCGCAAACGCATCCATTTTCAATTGTTATGCCAGTCGTACAAACCGCTTAATAACGCTACTAATCCGCAACCGCAACCGCAGCGGTTAAACCAGTCAGACCCTTAACAAAGATTTATTATGCAACACCCATTTTAAAAGGTGGCATTAATCATTCACGTAACAAACAGAAACAATCAGTAATGCACAAAATAGTGCAGAACATAAAACATGGGAATCTCCAGCCTCATTGGTAAACTTTACCTCTCTCATCGTATTAGTGTGCGAATTTGTAGTCCTTCGACAAAATAAGGCAGCTTCTTCCTTATGAACAAATAAAGCAGCGTCTTCGCTTTCGGTTACTACTTCTCTTTTTTAGTTTCAAAAATATCCCTTTCAAGAGTTAGTTTTCAATTCTTTATAGTAAAATAAATCAATATAAACACGTGTTGTGAATTAATGGTCGTAAACGACACATGTAATTTCAAAATTATAAGAAAATGGGAGTACGATTCTGACGATTTCCGTAAAAACAAATGTAAAGCAAATTTTAGAATGGTATCTAAATTATTTGAAGAAGAAAATTCATCCAATTTCATATACAAATACTATTAGTATTTTAAAAAATACCATACGTGATATACTTGATATACTGTATATATACTTGTTTCCGAGTCCATGAATGTGGCTGAACCTAACTCTTTGTTGGTCATGCATGAGATCATTTTATTTTTGTTGTTACTCCCTCGTCGCAAAAATGCAAGTGAGTGCCTCAAACGATGAGAAGACACGCTAAAAACTATGCTTTTTTAATTATGACATTTTAACACATTGTAATGTAATGCAAAACAACGGAGAAGAAAACTATTTTACCCTCACGATTCAAACGACCTCGCATGCAATAAACCTTACAAGAGCCTCTCACGGGCATATTCAGCTCCCCTTAATTGAAACCTCCAAATGATGCCTTCCACCATAAAGCTGGCACCCTCCCTTTTAGCCAAAACCGATATTATAACTAAGTTTAACAAAAATGTTCATAATAAATATATACCCCATAATATGGATTTTCTTATTATGGCTGTACTTGTAGAGTACCAGGATTTTCTAATTTCCAAAAAATGTCCTGATCAGCAATTGTTTCTTTTAGTGGAAATTTCTGTTTATGTATTGTGATTTAAAACTTAAAAGTACATGCACTAACCTACAAATCCCTTACTAAGAGAAAAAAAAAAAGAAAAACAGAGACGCATAATTCAAAGGTCCTAAAATTTGATGATTTTTGTTTGGTATTTAGGCATGTTAACAAATAACAAGTATAACATCTTTTCCCCCAGAACCTAGTAATGAAAGAGCCAAATCATATTTTTAAAAATATCGTATTCGAGCTGAGTGAAAGTATATATGATTTCAGTAAATCTAACCACTGCTATAGCCTATAGGTATGCATAAATATAAAATATAATATGTTTTCTCTCACACTCCACTATAATTTGAACTTTTGGTTAATGGTCATAAATTGTTTTTGTTGAGCTTCAGGTTAATGGTCATAATATTTTGTTGAATTAAAAAGGGATTAAATTAAAATTAGAATAGTTAACAGCACTACGCAGTAAGCACAAGGACGCACTTTCCGTAGTGGAAATGTTTGTGATGGGATTACATGGTGGACCATCCGCCGTATTTAATTCAACGGCTCCCCTAATAAACGAATAATATTCAATTTAATTACTACTCCATTGTTGACAAAACATAAACTAAACCATAAATTTATAAACCTATAGTTCCCTTCGTAACACAAAAAATAATGTAAACTCTAAACATATATATACGCGACATCGCCATCAATTTGTTAGGTCAAAACCTCCCAAAAGCTAGAAGACAATACAAAAGGAACTTCTTGCAGTCATCTTGACTCTTTTCAAATATATTAATATCCGTAGAATGTTGTCAATCTTATGATATTCCCACAGTCACTTGACTCATTTTGAATTCTGACTATAATTAATAACTATACCAAAAGAAGGTAATGATCTGAGCGATGGTTGATATATATTTTATGTGACGTATAACTAAAATTTATTTTGTTTTCGAATTACATTTTAACGTTGTTTCCAAATTCACAGTTTTCATAACGTTGATCTAGTGGTAGTGGATCAGAGGCTCGTGCTCCCAAAAAACTCTATAACCCGAAAAAGCCGAAAGAAGTTGAAGAAACACGATAACTACGTCTTTGTTGCTTTGTAAATAAAATAATATGGAAAGTGAAAACTCAGCCAATACATTACGTACCATTTGTTCCACACACATTGGCCTTTTCCATTTATTTGGGAATATTCCATGGTTAGCTACAGAAATTTTTTAATCAACTAATTGAATAGTCTTCTGGTGCTTTTATTCTTTTATTCAAATGATTTTCTATTGCATTCATACACTATACAAATTGAGAATCCTCCAAGTTATATAACGCGGGGGTTAAAGCTAGTGACTTCTTGCTGAATAAAACAAAAGGCAGTCACTAATTAATAATGCTAGAATAAACTCTCAGTCGATTATATGAAGCTACAGTTGAGATTTTAACTATTAGTTACTAAAGTCGAAGAGTTTTTTTTCTTACATTTTCTTAATACTGTGTTAAGACTAAAGTGTATGATTTTTAATATTTTGATTTTGTTTTCACATGCACCATATAAACCGTTTTTTTTTTGCGCACTATACAAACCGTAATAATTAATATGCTACTAATATATTTGGATTATATATTACCGTCTCTACAAATTTTGATACTATAACTTAACTATGGCGATTCAAATGGGGTAACTTCGAGTAAGTCATTTGTTTGTTTGTCATCCAAAAAGTCAATGGGCTCAAGTTTTTTCGGTTTTGGGTGGCCAACTAATACGGTGGTTAAGTATTGTTCAACAGTCACATGCGTTGATTTTGGTAGTGTCAAGATCTTGGAAGATAATAAAGCCATAAAGGGTTCAATACAAATCGTTAAATTTCCATTTCATACAACATTTACAACTTACAATAAATATGTACACTAAGAGAATTACATTATCCACTACTAATGATCTGCATTAAATTTAAAATCATAGAGATTTCTAATAAAAATGGGACAGTGAATGAAAAGAAAAAATTTCAGGGCAAGAAGGCATTGGGATCATCTTCTCCTTGCTTGATTCGGATCACGACTTCGGGTTCGGATTCAGGTCCGGAGCTAGAGCTCCCGGGCAAACCGCCACACTTGTGACACCTGGCAACCACCAAGATCTGACGGCAAGAAGGGCAAGACGAGTGAGACCCGAGCCACGTGTCAATGCAAGCCACGTGGAATCCGTGACCACACTGCGGCAAAACCCGGAGCTCGTCTCCGGCGGCGAATTCCGCCAGGCAGATCGCGCACTCGGCGAATTTCTCCGAAGACGGCGATTCCGGCGAGAAAGTAAGCTTGGGGAGAGACTGGAGAACTTTCTTCTTAAGTCCTTTGTTCGCCGCTGCGACCGGCGGTGAAGGAGATTGGCCGGAACCGCCTTGAGATACGGAGGCTGTTCTGTTTCCGGCTGCGAGACGACGGAGCCAGACGCATCGAGAAACAGCTATTAAACCGAGAACGCAAATCAAGGCGCAGAGAAGAGCAGCGAGGATGACGACGAGATCGGAATTCAAAGCGGCGGTGGAGGAATCTACCGGCGGAGATGGAGAGTTGGATTCTCCGAGAAGACGGAAGAGAAGGCGAGCCATTTCGAAATTCTTGGTTTTGGTTGGTTGTTTTGAGAATTTGAAAAATGGAAGAGATTGATTTGAGTGTTTGAGAGGTTTTGAGAAGCAAAGAGAAGCGGAGATTTATAGACAGAGAAGAGAAGTGTTGGTATCAGCCTTAATAGTATCGCTGTCGGTTAAGGTTATTTTGGTCAATTTAGACACGGTGTTTTTTGGTTTAAGAAAATTGATTATTCTGTGATAGTTGATTGCTACACTTGTTGCTTGCTTTCTGTCCGAGACTAGTTGAAAATATGGAGTATTTATTTAGCATTTATGTCCTTCCCAGTTTCCACAGTCTAGTTATTACTTTTAAATTAGTCGTTTATCGTCAGTTACTATCTTGTGACATAATTTATCTTCAGATATTGTTTTCGGATTATCAGAGAAAATGTTTCGAACTATAATTATAGTGTAAGAAATCGTATGCGTGTGGTGGGGAATGGGGAATGGCCCATGCTTATTGTATACAGTATATTTTTCTTATATATATAATATTGTGTTGGCATTAATAATTGTGGGCAAATCCTTTATCAATTTTGAAAATAAAAATTAAAATACATTAATGTGGGCGTGTGTTTTCTCTGTTCTTGGACCCATTTTTGGAACAATAAGCGAAGATTCCTTGGTCATTTTCTCAATAATTGCCTTCATCGACTCATAAGTCATATTCTCTCCGTTTTAAATTAGTTGTCGTTTTAGCAAAATATATCTGCAAATATTTGGATGTATCTGGATGTGTTTTGCATTGCAGATACGTACAAATATTTGCAAATACATTACGTACAAATATTTGCAAATACATTTTGTTAAAACAACAACTAATTTGAAACATCACATACTCCTGCAGGTAAACTATCAATTATCCGCGTTAAATTAAATTATATTTTTGTTATGTTTGAAAATCAAATGAAGATTAAACAATGGAAAAATGTAGTTAATATCTTTAGGATAGACGGAGAATCACCTCGTTTTTTTTCCCATATGTTTTAAATTTAGAGTTTTTGTCACATGGTCCATTCAAAGTGCAAAGATGAAATGTTCTCTTGACCAAAAGAAAGTAAAATAAATAAAAATTCCATGGATGGTTGTAAATTGCAAAGGCTATGAAAAAAAATAAAAAAAAAAATAAAAAAAGTTCATGAAAAGGTAGAGTCTTACTGAAGATCAAAGATGCCCTGGTAAAGAAAGAGCATTCAAATATGTTATTAGATGCCATTTTGGTTGACCAAAAAAAAAAAAAAAAAAAAGATGCCGTTTTAACTCGAACCGTCCATAGTAAGATCCCACAGTTTGCACTCAAAATACTTTTTGATGTTTATTGGTTTATGATTTAATCAATTTCTTAATATGGACTTTAATTAGGTATTTAGGTTAAACTACCTATTCGAAACTCTTAAGTATCTGCCAAATTGATGATTTTGGTAGGATGCTATGAGATTAATATTCGGGAACCACAAAAAGTATAGATATTTGTTTTTGTTTACGGAAACGACATATATTTTTCTCGTTACCTAAACTACATTAAGTTCTTTAATAAAGAGTTAAAGACAATTTTTCTATGTATGTTGTTAATTTTACTATTTCAGTCTCAAGTTTATGTAAGCGATTTATTACGCGTATCTTACCTTTGATAACCGATTACAAAAGTAGAAATAAAGCATGCAGAATTATTTCGAGGTTACATTACTTTGTAGTACATTCTGCCATCAGAACGATGCCATATATACACGTACTGGACATGTGTCAATCAACCACTCTACGAAAACGAAGCTTGTGTGAATACTTTACAACACTATAGTGTTAAGAAAAAAGTAGTAATACGAGATATTACTCTATGTTAATTAAAATCCACTCTAACTGTTGAAAAAATATCCATGATCCATCGGAAGACAAGCTTAGTTAATCTCTAAATACATATTTTAGAATCAGATTTTCAAAAGTTCCAATAGTTTAAACACCAAAATCGTTTCTTTAAGTTTAAATTTGACTATTTGAGAGTTATATGTTCTAGATATATTACGAATAATTGTGAAATTATGTGGAGAGACTCGGCCGAATATATGGTCGTCCTCGTGTTACTCGATGGTCTTAATTTAAAACTTTTTTTTTTTTTTTTGGTATGAATGTTAAGATTTAATTTAAAACTTTGTCCCAACGATGATGATACATAGCTAACTTCAACATAACAAGAGCAAGACTCAACGATTTTGGTGAAGATAGTGGAGAGACACTTGTCACATTTTTCGTTAAACGTTCAATATGGTTACACAAAAGTTAAACGTTCAAAAATTACACTATGCAATAGTTTAGCTGGTCTAAAAGAATTGAGGTGTCTAGATGGATGTTACGCGGCCTAGTTTCTATTTTTCTTTGATCTTGTTATTGAAGAGAAACAGTGAAACACTTTAGATGTGATGTGATCTACATTTATTTGAAGGATTATCTGATAATAACTACTCATGATTAAGCATAACGTTTAGTCTAAAACTATTAACATGTTATATTTATATATAACATTCTAAAAAAGGTTTAAAAAAAAAAGAAAAAAGGATACACATCCATAAAATAATGCATGCTAAGAGAGGTAAATGAGGAGAAAACGTGCAAGATTAGGAGTTTCTAAATATAGTAAATCGAGAAGATTTTAAAAATTAGTATTAATTTTCTGGTTGACTCTTTCTCTTCTCAGTGCACTCTCCACTTGCTGTTTTCTCACCGCCCACTTCTTCTTTCACCACACATGCTCTATTTTTTTGTCGTTAAATTTTATAAAATTATGGATAACTAATAAGATCACATGTCAGTATGTCACTATACAAGCCTTTTTTCAGACCATATATTAAATGATTACGAGGTAAGTCTATAATCATCTCCCATTACTCGTATAATAGTCAAAACGAGGAGGAAACTTCGCTGATATCCTCCACTAAACAATCAATTGCGAATTTTGACAATTGTGCAGCGTCGACGAAAATGCATTGAAATTGACCAAATTCAATCAGTTGTGGGCACGAGATTGCTCTATGCCACATCTTCGGTTTATGACAATGACTGGCATTTTCACACGTTGTCTAAAGACCAATCTACTACATTTTGATTTTACTTTTTAAAGTGGCCTCGAGCATTTCACTAGAAAAGTCAATTTGTTTCTGTTCACGAGATTATGTAAAACATAAATCACAAGAGAAGACCCTATTATTATGTTGGAATTTTAAAAAGTGTGAATTTTGTCAATGTTTATTCGATTTACTGTTGATTTTGAAAGCTATGGTTTTTGATTCTTTGGTCGTTGTGGTTGTTAACTTGTTATGCATGATCTTTGATTCATGACCATCAGAAGCAAATCTTTAAAGATCTTGAACTTCTTTACCTTTGTTTGTGGGACTCTATTTTCGATTTGATACTGATGGTGATGTTCAAGGCTCATAATAGCCGCATCCCGATCTTGAAGTCAACCAAGACCGTATCTATCTGAGATAACCGGATTTTTGTTGATTGGTTAGTGAATCATATCACATTGCTTAGAAGATTGATTGGTTTAGTTTGGTCTTGACTGGTTTCGTCTAATTTGGTATGTATTTCCCGGTTCACTACAGCGGTATCACAAAAGGAAAGGAAACCTCCAAGAAATGAAGACCACACATGAAGTCAACCTTGTTACTGTAGATGATTGCAAGAGTAAAAAGTGATTGACAATAACAATCTAAGATCTTTAAATTTGGTCTCAGTTGGTTGAATCAAAGTGAGTTTTTTTCTTCTAGCATTAATAGACTAATACATTGCTCTCAGTGATCAAATATAAAATTGTGGACTTACTACTAGTCTGCTTTTCTCATTCATGTTTTCTCATTACAGATCAAACCTAACGTTCCATTTTCCTTTCAAGTTTGCATTGAGAGTCCAATTGTTTTCTCTGATCTGCAAATAAGGCATCTGCAAGAAAGAGAGAGAGGCAACACATTCTTTGTCAGCAATATAATCCAATGAGAGAAGATTCAGTGAGCTCAAGAGTAAAGTTTGGTTAGAATCTACACAATTCAGATACGAGTACCTTTTCAAACATTTCGTAGCCAACTCTGAGGCGTAAATCCTGATCTTTCTGAAACTTCCATATGTTCCAATCAAATTCAGCAGCTCCTTTCGGGTTCCTCTGTTCCGCAAAGTCACAAAATCTCAGTCCATTCATAGTCTTTAAAACCATGAAAAACAAAACTTGACTGATGAAGAAATGAAAAAAGAAGAGGAGAACCTGAGCGAAGTCTTGGTCAATGTCGCATCGTCCTTTGATATTGAAGGTGACAAGCTCATCAGTTCTCACAGGGAACTTCTTTTTCCCACGTACAAGACACCGAAGCTTCTCACGTTTGTCATAATGCAACCCTACTCCAAGGTTTGTTGAAGCCTATAAAGCAATTCGATGCATTGAAAAATGGTTGTATCCAAAGATTCTCAGACGAAGTATCACAAATTTGAGATCAAAAACCTCATGAAAAAAGTGCCTTATCATCGCACAGAAGTAACTTGGCGCTCCAGCTCCTGTATCTAGCTCTCCATGAAGCTATTACAAATCAAAACCAACAAAGAAAGTAAGAACTGAGAAACAACCTTAGCCAAACCAAGTAAGTCAAACATCACTCATATTGACAAAGCAATGAATCAAGGTTTGCCAAAAGGTTAGAACTTTGTTGTTCACATTAGCCATGAAAATGGTCAGTAATCCAAGACTTATCTAAAAATCCTGCAAAAACTAAACACAGGCTAAGAACAAATCTTCCTAAGAGAGAGATCAATATAGATCATCTAATCCTCTTTCAGCCTAAGCAGCTAACGACATTGAGGTAAATCTGTTGAAGTGATGCTAAAGGCCTATCAATTTAGTCCCTCTGCGTCTTATCTCCATATATTAGAAGACTTATATAATTAAAAAGGAAGCCTCCGTTTTTACATATAAAAAACCCTTGATTGCAATTTCTAAGACGCAGACCATAAACACTCAAAAAAATTAACCTAGAAGTCTCAAGTAAGAGGCTTCTGACCTGGAAATAAACGAAGAGACTACGGAGCGAAGCAATACAGTTTTGGAAAGAACAGAGCTCAAAAACACATTAATTCGAAGGAGACAGAAAAAGCTGGAGTCACCTGAAAACGAGTCTTGGAGTTCACCGGGAGCTTCTCCTTAGCATGGATTTTCAGAGACCTCGAATTTGTAGAATACCTCAGAGAAGTCTCCATTTTTCCTTTTTCCGAGCTACCGGAAAAGATTCAGCTTACCAAATCCCAAGCAGAGGAGCTAGCAACCAAATTCCCACCTAGTTAGTAGCTGAGGTCTTATCGGTTTATTATCAGGTTGGGTTCGGTTTACGAAACCAAATTATATCTATTGGTTTATAATATCATTCCATTTGAGTTTTTCAATTCTTTGATCCCAAACCACTTTATTTTTGTTTGATTTTGTTTGGTTTGGTCCTAATCCCACATTTGAAGTCTCGAATAAGAACGTGCCTCGTTGTACTTTTAACAATTTATAGACCAACAAATACCGGTTATGTAGTGTACCAGAGTTGGTGGTATATACTCCAAAAATTACATCTCTTTCTACATTCTCTCCTCTGTAAATTTATCTTTACACAAACAAATGATGGGACAATGCTTGAAGCCTCAAACTTCTCTTGTCAGTGTTCGATGAATCTTGTTCACTTCTCCTCTGGGGGCGTCACCTGAAGCAGCTCTATGTTCAACTCAAAAGTAGCTCCAGGCTGCAACAACATACAAATGTTTATCTTTTTCTCTCTTAAACTAAAAACTTAAAACCACATTTTCTGCAAAAGACGGAGCTTTCCTCATTTACAATTTGTAGGTTCTCACCGGTATCTCGTTCATTCCTTTCTGACCATAACCAGCTTCAGGAGTAACTATCACAGTTCTCTGCACGACACACAAAAACAGGTAAAAAAACTAAATTTTCTATTGCGTGCAAGTACTAAGTGTTATTATAAGAAGAAGAAAGCAAAAATGTAACAACCTTGCCTCCAACTTTCATTCCTTCGGTTATGTAATACATTGCTGGAGGAGGCTTCGGTGCAGCCTGTGCAGAGAACAACCCGTTTGGACTGTCTACAAATTCACGTTTCCTCTCCTTTCCTGGAGTAGATCCCACCTTGAACTCATAAGGCTGCACAAGAAGAAACGCAAGCCATCATCAAGTAGAAGAAGTCTACTTGAAAATCATGAAGTTTTAACAAAGGAATAGGTAACCTGAGAAATACTACGATTTCCAGCCAAAAGCTTGGATTCTCTTGTAGAAATCGCAGTGATGCTTCTATAACGGCAATCGAAATGCACCTACATGGAGGAAAGACGAGCGCTTTACAATGTTAAAAAGGCGAGAACGCGATTTCCATATAGAGAAATCAATGTGAATCCAATTAGAGAGACCTGAGCAGTTGATCCTTTTGTTGCTACTGGACCTTTGCCTTCCTCAACGTCATAGAATTTCAACCCTTCAGCTGCAAGAACAGACCAACAATACAATCATTCAATAACAAGCTTCTCTGTATGCTTAGCATTCTCCAGAAACTGCTCACACAGCTCAAGCAAATCCCTTTTTTTTTTTTTTATCAATTCACAATTAGAATTCCCGAGACCCAATTCACCAAAAGAGTCATTAAAGCAATAACAAATTGAATTCGTAGAATCAGCTCTAAATTGTGAACATTATGCGGAATACGAACCGATTAGCTAACAAGAGAGCGGAGGACTTAACGGCTAGTGGAATATTCCTCGATGGGGATGACTTTTCTGCTCCGTCTCTCTCTCGCATCCGAAGAGCTAGGCAGTAGAACGAAGAAGCTCGTCAATGGAAGCGAGCCGAGAAGAATAATACTAGCGACTCTTCTAGATATCGGAAACGAAAAGGTAACGATTTGATTAGTGGGTCGAGATTGATCTGCCTCCGAAACCGAAGAGATTCGACGAAGACGAGAGTGATGATCAGATGCCCATCTGTGTAAGCTACTAATTGCAGCCATTGATGAAGATTGAAGAAGCAGAAGCAGAGCGCTGTCACAGAGCCCCCATATCCGATATCCCAAGTTTCTCAACACTCGAAATGACGTTTCTATCCCTAACACAGCAACGTTCACAAAACACTGTCGTTTTGTTTGAAATCTTTCCTTTTTTGAAACAAGCTATCAAAAACATACGACTTTCCTAAAAAGGAACAGAAAACTTATTGAAATTTCCTTTTTGTTTGTATTGCGAAACCAAAGTTTCCTAATTAGAATGAGTAATTACTTATTTACTTATCACGTCTACTATATAATAAAACACATAGGCACACTTCAAAACATTATCAGAATCAGAAAAAATTACAGAGAAACAATCACATCAAAGAAAGCCCTAACTAGTTCGATAATGGATAGCTTACCTTTTCATCTCCTAGAGGAGATTCTCTTCAAGTTAGATCGCAAGTCTCTGGCGATGATGCAATGCACAGAAAAATCTATCAACTCTCATGTATCCGATGATCCCTACTTCAAACCCGAATACTTATCTAGGTTTAGGTTAATGGATCACTCCGAATCAAAGCTTGTGCGAGAGATAGTTTGCGGCAGTGGAACAGAATCTGAACTTGAATGTGATGAAATAAATCAAAGCGACGGAACCACCGCACAGGTTTTCGAAACTGTCCGTCTAAGCTCGGAGATGGTGAAGGAGACGAAGGAGGAAGGCTGTTTCGACGGAGTGGTTGGAGACTTTTCATCTGCGATGGAAGTGGATGAGAAGGTGGACGAGGTCATGACGATGGCTGGGCATGATAAACGCGTCTCCTCTCTAAGCACGATAATCATGAGACTGATTCATGAGGTCTCACCAAACGTTCGGAGCTTGTTAAAGAGAAAGGAAACGCAGCTTGGGAAAAGATTGTTGATTGAAGAAGGAGAAGGAAAGAAACTGAAGAGGAAGGTGTGCTCTGGTTCCAAGTTCCTTAACGTGGAGAGTATCAACAAGAGAATTAGAGTCAAGTAGACAAATTCGTACCATGTCATGACTAGTTTTGGTATTAAGAGTTTTATGACTAGTTTTGGTTTTTAAGAGTTTAAGGCCACGCGGGTTCAATTTCCTCTCCTCTTTTTATGTTTTACTTTTATTTTGTGAGCCCTATTTCTAATAATTTTTATTATCACCATTCACCAACTCAAACCTTCATGAAACTTGGACAAACAAACTAAAAAATAACTTATCTTATCGCAAGTGAAAAACCGTTAAACTTAACAATCAACTCTAAATGATATGAGCGCAAACATAAGAAACAGAGATATAAGACTCATAAAACGAGCAAAGGAAGTATAGACGTAACATGAATAACAGTATCGAAGTATGGCTGAATCTCAAATAACGTGGCACCTAAAAACTCTCACCACCAACTCAGATCTCCATGGCATTTTGACAAACAAAAACTACTACTATAGCCACTGAAGAAGCGTTAAAATTTTTTTTGGGAGAAAGATTTTATATATGTCACGATCTTAATTAACAATGACATGTATAACAATCTGGTGAATAAAAATTTGTCACTTCGAATGTTCTTAAAAACTTATTTTATATTTTTTAGTTTTTCATTTTTATGAATCTGATTTTTTTTTTAAAACTGTAAATATGTTAACTATTATACGTGTTGTATTTTCTAAAAAAAAAATTAAGAAAGATTTTATATGTGTCACAATCTGGTTAGTAAAAATTATTCTTACATGTCAGGCTTACGTTTGTGCATATCCAGTTTTATTATTAATAAGATACATATGTCATAATCTTAATTAACCATGACACGTATAACAATCTGGACAATAAGAATTATTCTTACACGTCACGCCTACGTTGTGCATATCTAGCTTAATCACACAATCCATTGAATTAAGAATCTTTCAGTGTTAACGTCCAGGTTAAACTCATTCAAGTCTATATAATAAGTTAACACACTGACCACAAACACTCAAGTAAAACATTATCTCATCAAAAGTCACTAGACAAAAATATAATCTCCAACCATGAACAGATTACCTATGGATCTCGTCGACGAGATTCTCTTCAGATCAACCCCCAAATCTTTGGGGAAGATGCGATGCACAAACAAATCATTCGAAGCTCGTATATGCAACGACCCAATTTTCAAAGCAAAATACTTGTCTCGGGTTGGATCCAGTTTGCTTCACATCTCCAGAGATGCCTCCGCATCACTCTGCTTCCACCCTTCCGGCGATCCTAGGGCATTCCTACCCGAAGCTAACTTAGAGACCAAGTGTCGCATTCTCGGTCACTGCTCCAGTCTTCTCCTGCTCGTCGTCGGGGGGTTTTACTGCGTCGTGAATCCCCTCACGAAGAAGTTTCGCTTCCTGGATCTCTTTGACAGGGCGTATAGAAAGTGCATCGGTTTCCTCGTTGATCAAATCGATGAAAACACTCAGAGATTCAAACTCGTCCGCGCAGAGGCTCACTACGATTATCCAATTCCATACGAAACGACGTATGGATTCGAGATTTACGCTGGAAATGCATGGAGATTATCGACAACCACCTTTACTTGCCCCTCAAGCGATCTCATGAAGGATATGAAACCTGTCTACTTGGAAGAAGACGGAGCTCTTTACTGGCTGAGAGAGGACTACAGCATCTTAGCTTTCAATCCCGAGACCGAGCAAGCGCGGTTGATTCCGGTCAAATTCAACCGCGAACCGGATACGAAACTTTTGTTCGGTTCTGGCGATAACCGGCTGACAATGATAGCGGCGACAAAGGAAGTGATTGACGTTTTTGTCTTGGAGGGTATCCTCACCGATCCTAAGTGGATCCTCGCGAAACGGATCAGGAACGAGGCGGTGCATGAGAGTGTGACGTTGTCATGGGACGTGGTGGCGTTCGATGGAAGATGTTTGGCGGTGAGGACGATGAAGGGCATTGGACGCCATGTGGTTTATGGCTACGACTTTAGGGCGAACAAGTGGGGGGTCGTGGGTTTGATGCCTGATTGGTGCGATACAAGGCGATACTTTTATCTGTTGAAGCCGTCGTGGTCTTGTGTGGTGGGACTCATGGATCAGGATGAAGAGAATCTTTGGTACAAAGTGTTCACATCGATTAAATCCAAACGCCTCTCCTCACTAGAGAGTATTATGGATTTGATTAATTTATCGTAATTCGAGGAACTAAATCCGTTACCTTTTTTTTTTGTATTGAATTATATTCAAGCCAAAAAAACTTCTTTTACAATGAATGCTTTATGTTTTTGAACTTTTAATCATGTTACAAAAGAGTAGAAATGTTGATTTGCCTTTGAGCTCCTTTAAGATGGGCTTGTGGCGAACCACAATTCAAGGCTGCCTGCATAGTAGTGATTCCTTACACAAAAATGAAGGAAGAAGGTTTGTAAAAAAAGAAGACATCATGCTTTACAAGCTACTCAAATAAAGAGCTTAATTTGTCAAAAAAACAAAATATCATACGAGGCCCCAAACACAAAAATCAATTATACCCAAAGAATAGCAAAATAGTTTGAGCTTAGGAAATGAATAGCACTTGATTAGAACACCTTTATTATTGAGATCAACTTCAATCTAAAGAATCATGGTGTGTGAATTTCTCTACTATTTGAAAAATCTAAATAAGAATTATTATTATTTTATCTAATTTGAACCGTATTTACTCTAATTGTCAATCAGCCGACTACTTTGTTTTGCTCCGCGCCATATATAAGATCAATAATAACAATAATGATTCCCTTACGTGAACTATAAGTCTTAAACCCTAGTTTCTCCCACCCAAAAAAGTAGTCACCGATCACGATGAATCGCTTACCTTTGCGTCTCTTGGACGAAATTCTCTGCAGACTGGAACACAAATCCTTGGCGCTAACGCGATGCACGAATAGAGATCTCCGATCGCACATCTCTGGCCCGGATTTTGAATCCGAATACTTTTACGTCTCGGATCCAGTTTGCTTCACTGCTCCTGCGGAACTCTATCCCGCTTCCCCTTCGTCTCCGGAGGATCTAGGTCACCGGAAACCAAATTTGAAGTGGCAATGTGTACGATCCTTGGCTCATGCTCCGGCCTTGTCCTTTTCGATTCCGGTCGGAAGTTCTGCGTCGCGAATCCCTTTACCAAAAGGTTTCTGTTCCTTGATCCTCCAGACGATCCATGCCTGCACATACATTACTCCCTCGGATTCGCCGTCAATCGAATCACACAGAGATTCACCATCGTTCTCATACGCAATCTCCCGAAGAGGAGAGCCAACGAATCAGTGTATGAGTTCGTGATTAGCTCGGGAGATTCATGGAGAGTATTGACAAGGAAGATTACACACTGCTCAAGCTCTCTTGACACGAGAGGTGGGAAACCTGTTTACTTGGACGGCACTCTTCACTTCTTATTAACCAACGGAAACGTGATTGCCTTCAACGTCGAGACAGAGGAAGCCAGACTGATTCCCGCCGTATTCCAAGGGGAACTGCGTTCGACCAAACAGTTTCTCGGAGCCGCAGAGAACCGCCTGACCTTACTCTCCGCGTCCGAGGAAGTGATATCCTTTCACACGCTCGAGAACAATCTTGACTGGTCTCTCGCGAGCCGGATCAAGAACGTGTCGCTGCAAGGAAAAAACAACTGGAACGTGGCGGCGTTTGAAGGCAAGTGTCTAGTGGTAGCGGAACATATTACGAAACACGGTGGAAACAATGTGGTGTTTCATGGGTACGACATGAGAGCTGACAAGTGGAGAGTTGTGGGGTTATGTCCAAAAGTCTTCTTTCAGGACCAACATTTGTATCACTTCACGCCGTCGTGGTCCTCCGTCATAGGAGTCGCGGCCAACCCGACGGAACTGTGGAAGGAGGAGCTGGCCAAACTCGGCTCTATTTACAACCCAAAATGGACTCACTCTCATAGGAATCTTCTTGATCGTTTCAAAATTGTGACGGCATTGTCTTCATTTTTTAAAGTTTATAACCCATAAGTGAAATATTCGAGTTTAAACTTTCTACGTTTTGGTTAATATATTTAACGAGAAAAAACAAGCAAAGTTTCTTCCACAAACGTATGCCTTTTTTAAACCTGAGGCCGATCAAATGATTCCAATTTCTAGCGTACGGATATATAAAAAATTTATAAACAAACAAATCAAATAGCTTACAGCACACGCAAACAAGAATCGACATGTACAATATATACCCAGAAAAAAGAAACTGGATGCTATATTAACAAGTTGATGCCCCAACTATGCCATGTTTGGGAATATACCTGAGAAGTTTGGGATCTTATCAATGTGTCTCAACGCGTTCTCAGCGATCTGCCGCGTTCTGAAATCAGCGTTTTGGAAAGCGTCCACAAGCGCAGCGCTCACGTTAGGCTCTTCCGCGATCTCTCTCGCTATCTCTTCAATCCTCAAGATCCTCTCCACCACCCAAACCGCTCTCCTCGTCAGCCTCTCCGTCCTGTTCTCAGTCAGAACGTTCAGAATATGCCGTATCCCGTCCGCGTCGTCGAGTATCTTCACCCCTCTCTCCACATCTAGCCCATCTTCTAACAAGCTCGAAAGAGCCGCAAGCGAGGCCTCAACAACTTTATCGTTCTCATGGTCCAACAGAGCCACTAGTTTCTCCACAGCTCCTCCTTCCAGAAGGCAAAACGTTTCTCTCAAGGAACATTTCCCCCGGTGGATCTTGCAAAGACCGGTCACAACGTGCGGTTTGCTCATACACGAAAAGATGGAGACACAGTAGCTAGGAGGAGGCAGATCAGGCATCCGTGAGAGGTTTATAGACTCTAGCGAAAGATTCTCTAAAGCCATTGCAGAAACCATCTGGATGTTATCTTGACCGTTGGACTGAAGGAGATGAATGAAAAGAGAAGCCACATTGTACTCACGGCAAAACGTAACGGCACGAGCCTCGTTGCTGATTGCGAAGGTAACCCTAGCGAGTATACGCACAAGCCCTTCAAGAAACGTTCTCTCAAACCGCATCCCTTTGATCTCCCCTTGCCGGATTCCAATCACTTTGGAGATGATTTTCTCAAACGCACCGACTCCTAACATTTCTTGAGTTAGTCCCAAATCTCTCTCTGGCAACTCAGCTAAGAGTCCAGCAGCTGCAGCTTGCTCTTCAGAGATTGGTGTCTTCTCAGAGATGATCGCAACGAGGCTCCCGAGCTGTCCTGCAGTGCCACGCAAGGCGTCTGCTAGCTCTTCACTCATGAACGGTGAAAGGTTGTGAAGAAGCTTTATGGAAGCCAAACGCAGATCGTCATTCTCTCTGACCTCCACGAACTGAACCAAACTGATGATAGCACCGGAGGTTTTAATCGCCGAGACGACATGTATAACCGTTTTAGGGCAAGTGGTGAGTCCAACAAGAACCTCCAGAAGCTTGCACTGGATCGCTGGACCCGTGTTGCTTATCAGATACAGAAGATTCTCCACTCTGTTCTCTGAAACAAGAGTGGCCTTGTCAAAGTCGTAACCAATGTTCACTATGTTAGCGAGGATAGTTGCAGAGACTTCTTTCAACCGGATTGGAAGCTGGTTTGGTCCCACGTAGAACAGATCTTTGATTAGTGGAGGGAGAATCCCTATGCTGATTAAAACTTTAGCACTCCCTTCAAACGACGAGATCTTGTTAAGAGCTTTCAGAGCAGCTTCTCGTTGAGGCATGTCACCGCTTCTCATTAGATCCACAAGCGAAGATCCCACAGTTTGAGCCACAAGAACCTTCGTATCATTGTTTAAAGCAAGCTCCCCAAGAAATGAAGCCATGGAGAGTTTCGTTTCAGGTGAACCTGCAACATCATCATCATGTCATATAATGTGAGAAGAAGAAAATCAAGAACTTGAACCATGTGGTTAGAATCAAAGACTAATCTCACCTTCAAGAAGTTTTCCAAGAAGAGGCTGGAGTCTACCATAAGAAGCCATCTGCCTAACAATTTCCTCTGACCTCTCCATGTTCTCCAATGTTCTATCAGCTTTCTCAACAATAGACACGTTCACAGAGTTGCTGCTTGTGAGACCAACCAGTAAGATAAGAGCTCCATTAACCGAACCAATCTTCTCGCACAAGGCTTCTGATTTAGAGAGCTCAAACAGCAAAGAAACAGCTGCTTCTCTCCCCTTTGATGGCTCCTGTGACAAGAACTTAACCAGCGTACGCACTGTATCCCCTTCAGCTAGTATCGCCTGCAAGAACAGTTAATCAGCACACAATACAATGCAATCAATAAGCAGAGATTCAAACAGAAGACAACAACCTTGCTCTCTTCATCTCCTTCAACAACAACTTGAAGTGTCTGCAGAGCCTTATACTGCACTCTATGGCTGTTACTTTTCAACATGTCGATGATCATTCGAATAAGCTGAGAGTTACGCACACCTTGCCTATTCGACCGGATGCTCCTGCAAATCTGCCTCACATGCATCAGAGCTTGCAAGATATCACTCTCGGCATTGCCAAGAAACAGCGCCTGGCGAGCAATGTCGAGCTTGGCAGAGTCGTTCCTTGATCTCCACTCTTCGATTGTGTTGCGCAGAGCTATGCTCGGGCTCACGTCAGAAGTGCTCAGCTCCTGCGATGTGATAGGGCAAGATGGTGGCTTCCCGGTGTCACGGCATTCTTTGAACCATTTCTCGATGGCTTCACGCTCGAATGTTCGTCCGTTCTCTAACGTGACGGGGTCGTGCATGACTTCTTTTGTTAACGGACAGATGAATGCTTCGTAGATGTGGTCTACTCCTCGCTCGAACTGTGAGCTATCGTCTGACTCGTTTCCGTCCCAGCTTCCGTCCATCTTAGTCTTGCACACTCACACTGCAATGAAGCAAATACGGTCTTGATTTATGATTCTGTAGTAAGAAGCAGAGGATTATCAAAGGCAGCTAAAAAATCAAGAAGTTGAAAATTTTAAATGCAAGATCAAGAAATTGAAAATGAAGCAGAAAGTTGAAACGCAAAACGGGTTAATACCAGATTTAGCTAAGTTCCCGGATTCTTTCACAATATATTCAATCAAAATGATAATTCTGAATTACGAAAAGTAAGAGTCTTTCTCAATCATTCCCATAAACCCTAATACAGCAGGGATTACTAAATTTAGCAATATCTGTGAGCATTTCAAAAACGAAAAATCTAAAAAAAGCATTTCAAAAACACCAAAAGAGAGAGAAAGCAGACCAACCAGTTACAATCGCAGAAACGCCTCAGAAGCTAAAGAGAAGGAGCAATATAAAGCCTATAGTGTCTTCTTCTAAGTTGACAATTCGAAAATGACAACTTGTTAGTCTACTTGAGCAAAAAAAGCGATAGAAAGTGTGACTTCTTCGTCTTCCATGGATCCAATGGCAAGCAATCGAGCTTTGCTGTTACTCTCTTCTGGAGCTTGAATTCAACAGGGTTATTTATCCTCGTGCGAGAGCGAGAGAGACAGGCAACAACGAAAAGAAGGGAAGAGACAAAAGAGAAGAAGATGGGTTCGACGAAAATGAAAAAAAAAAAAATCGAAAATTAAATATAAATAAAAACAGGAAAAATAAAAAAGCACGAGACGCTGACTAAAATCGAAAAGTCATGAGAGAGAGACGTGGAGCCACCAAACGCCAACTTGACAAACAGCCTGGCTGTGTTCACACTGGACTTGCTCTAGATTCCCATCCGGTTAACATCGGGTCGGGTTTCGGGTTTTGACCCGGAAGGAAATCTTTAGAGTTAATGGGCTTAATAAGAGTAGTGGGGCTGTTATAATTCAAATATTACGAAACTAGCCCCGTTTACTCGAGAATCGCTCTGAGCTCTCTCGATCGATTTTGTACGACGTTCTGGTGTAAGCGTTGATTTGATCATTCTTTGTGTTTGGAGCTAAATTTGCGATGGCGGGAGATGAAGGAATTGAGATTCAAGAGGAAGGAGATGAATCTGTGGATGTGAAAAACAAGGCAGAAGTGAAAACTGAGCTGGAAAATGGGGGAGGAGAAGATGAGAACGTCTTACAGTTCCTAGATTCGTTGGATGGGTATTTAACGCTTATGGATTCTGTGAATTCAAAGCTTCGAGAGGTAAAATGTGAATGCTTCTCTTTGTTTTTATGGCTATGATGCTAAAAATTGGATCTTATGGGTTCTTCTGTATTTCCGATCAATATAATTCTCAAGTTTTGGTATATGTGATGACTTTGGATGAGTTTTTTTTTATAGAAATCGAAGCTGATTTTCTTCTCTTCTCATGATGGAACAATATATGATCTCTAATCTACGAAAGATGTAACTTAGGCTGCATTTAGTTAAGCATAATGAATAATTTGTCTCTATATCATTTCAAAAGTTTAGATTTTGTAGGAGTTGGCTAATCAGATTTTTGTGCTGTCTCGTTATAACATCTAAAATTTCTGTATAGATTCGATCTGGGATTAAAAGGGTTAGGAAAAAAAATCCTTTTTTCTTGAATTTGCTTCACTGATTATGATGAGACTCTGCCTAAATAAACTCACTGGGTATACTAGAAACTTTATGAAACGTGTGCTTTTGGCAGGGATGGTTTGATTTAGCAAGTGCTCGACACTCTATGGGAACTTTACGTGTCAACAGTACTCTCTTAGACCTCAAGGATCATCCCGCTGCTTCAACATTGCAAGTGACAGACCAAGAGGGTAAGTTTTGCTTCACATAAACAGAGAAAAGTATGCTCTGAGGCTTTGATTAATGGTTCACATTTATATGCTATGAGTTTATGGAGGGAAGCCACTTACTTATATACAAGTCTGTGGAACTCTTGTAGATGAATCTTTGGGATCAGCACCTCGTTTTGCTTTGTCTAAGTGGGCTTCCAAGGGCGGTAGCGGGAAAGGCAAAGACTTTTCCACTGATGTAAATTCGGAGATGGGATCACCTCGTAGCCCACATCTACGGCATCGAGGCGTTAATGGTATTTAAAGAAAAGACTTATCTGTTTGTTATTCTGTGCCCTTTGTTAGTCTGCGTCTCATATTTTGCTTATGTAATTTGATAGAAGAGAAACCATCAGGCATGGATGAAACCATGTTAGCAGCTGATGAAGAGGTGAGCAATCATTTTGTCTTCTTATTCACAAAATCTTTTTGTTTTTGAAATGGGTTTTTACTGATTCGGATGTGTTTCATCTTGAAAGATTAAGAAAGAACGAGCGAAATCTCTGTCGGTATTTGGAGGTCTAGTCTCGCCTAAGCTGCGTGGCGCTCAACTATCGTTTGAGACAGGTAACTTTGTCGTCACCACAAGTTATACTCACAAATACAAATTTCAGGAGCTGAAAGTCTGTAGTTTGTCTTTTCAGCTCTTGAAACTCTTGTGGAAATAGCCAACACGCGATCATTGATGCTATCTGCCTTTAAGCGGATCACAAACAAGTGAAGTTCCTACGTAATGACTCAATGGATACAACGGAAGCATAATGGATCCAACCTCAAAGACGAGGTTACAGTGACCATGAGAATTTGGTGATACGAGTTCATATCTTTCTTCGAGTCAGAGATAGAATGTGCCATTGCAGTAGCTCCATTTTTCAATTTCTAGCTACCACATTTGGTGTAAACACAATATCTGTTTAATTTTACCAGAACTTCTTACGAACCTTGTTATAAGGAACGATCAAAATGATAGAATATCTTGGAGAAGAGAAAATGGACAAAAATAAAATCTTGTACAAACATTACATTGTGCTTCTTTCATTCGTTCTGCACAACGAAAACATCAAATATTTCTTTCCGATAAAAGCAAATAAATTCATAAGAACAGAGCAGTTAGAGTAGAAAACTCATACAAAGACAAACTTTACAAATTACAAATAGTCTAACGCTATTGTCTCATCCAAAACCACAATTTGGAGGAAAAAATTATAAGATCTTTATGAAACAACCACAAGTTTATCAAGCGAGGAAATATGGGAAAAAAGATTTTAACAAAGGAATGATAATCAACTGTGTGGCTAGAAGGAATTCCAGTTATCTGACCTTTTCTTGGGGCTTTTATCATCCGAGGAGACTTTAAAGGGACCTGTGGAACCAAACGGGTCTGCATCATCAAACGAGTATCCATGGTCCTTTGTACTATTCATGGAGTCAAATCTTGAAAGCGAGGGACCACCAAAGTCTCTGCTACTGTTGATTGAATCGAACCTAGAGAAGGCGGCTCCACCAAAGTCTTTGGAGCTGTTGATGGAATCAAACCGAGACAGTCTCTCGGGCTGCGAGGAGGAAAAGCCAGCACCAGCGTCACTCGTGGTGTTGAAGGAGTCGAATCTGGAGAAGCTATCGAAATTATTATCTCTGGCTGATGCATCGCTGAACCGAGGTGGAGAGTTCCCGAATCTTGAAAGTGGAGTGCTGGGAACTGAATCATCAAATGCAAATGGGCTCGTTCTCTGAGCGCCGAAACTTCTTGAACTTGGAGAATCTGCTCTTCCTGAGTTTCCACCAAAATCGCCACCAGATCCAAAATAATCTCCATCCTGCCAATGTCCATGTTTAACAAATGCTAAGCAACTAAATGATTCGCTTACAGAGGAAAATGTGTACCATCCCAAATCGGAAAGCATCAACTCAATCAGCAGGATACAGGTTTTAAATCTTGTAGAAAGTTTGAAAGCAGTATAATGTTGATTCGATAATCACAACTGAAAGGTATTGCAATGGATGGATTGTTAAACTGAGAGACACTATGGAATCTGTACTCACCTGGCTTTTTGATGCATCAAATCCCCAGACTGAATCCACATCATCGTTAGTGTCAAAGGCACTAGCCCAATTCGAGTCATCAAAGCCTTGAGAATAATCTGGAGATGGGACCTCAGTAGCAGTCCTAGAAACAGGACTGTCTCTAGGACTTCTGCCTGATTCATCTTCATATTCACTCTCGTGGTGGCGGTCTGAGGTTTCTGAAAAAGGTCCATAATTCTCATCCAAATGAGTCGGCGAATCAGGTGGTCCAGTATCATCATCCACCGTACCATTTTCCTTCTCACCAGACGGATTTTGCTCTTTCGATTTGTCAAAAGTAATCTCATTGCCAAATCCTGATAGTGGGAGGATATCAGTCAGCGTCCTTGTTATGTTGTTAACTATAGATATCTAAATGTAATGCTAATAGTAAAAAAACAGTGTACCTTCATCTTCAAACTTATCCCATTCTTCATCCCAAAGAGCTGCCCCTTCTTGAATTCCAGGTTGCCAGCCTGTAAGACACAACATTAAAAGTTTCCAAATGATTTATTTGCATTCATCTACTGTTAAAGCAATAAGTCACTAGGCAACAGAATCGTATGTAGTACCAGCTGGTAGGTCTACAAGGGCCTTTGACTTAACCTCCACCCCATGCTTCTTGCAACGTTCGGTTAAAGCCTTCATCAGCTCCTCTAGATCTGATTGTATTCTGTCAGCCCGTACCTAAATACGCCCAGTAAATTATCAAATCAGGTATGCACAACAGAGTCTCAGTAGTTTAGGCATCACATAAACATGGAGAATAGCATGTACCTGAAGGAGACCATCAGCACTACCACCTTGCTCCATGTTTACAATTGCTTGGCTCAATTCCGTCTTTCGCCCCTGGAATGGGTTAGCAAAACTTCAGTAAGTAACAAAATTTTGTGAGAGATCTTTTACAAAATTATTCAAAGCCCCTTCACCAGCAAAGGTGGAAGAAAGAAGAATTGGGCCATAGAATAAAAGTAATGAAGAAAGAAAGAAAAAAGGCTGGAATGTACATTAGGTGTTGCCACTTTATGTGCCAGCCAAAGGAATTAGCCATACCTCAATCTCGCGGAATCTGGCCTCTTCAATAGTTAATTTTGATCCTATTTCTGCAACTTGCTTATACTTCTCCTCATACTTCTTTGCTAATGTTTCAGCCTGCAGCAGAAATGTTCTGGTATAAGACACAAATAGCCTCTAAGAAATGAGAAAATGATGTTTTCTGTGAAATTCACCTCACGCTTGTCAGCGGAAGCCCTTTCGGAGATCTCATTTAATCTATTGTCACACCTGCTTTTGTACAAGACCTGACAGAGAGGAAAAATACAAAGAAATGGCATCATTCGAATTGGATCTTTTTCTCTGAAAAAATGGCATCGTGAGACCAATAATCACCATTATTTCTAACCAACGAGGAAGAGTAATTTATAATAGAGTACTCACAATATCCTGCATTTTCGACCGGTAGTAATCAAGTTTCTCCCTGGAGTCCATATAGACATTCTTCTTTTCTTCAACCTACAGTGATTAGAATAATTTTGTTGCACAACCATCCAAGAAAAATGCACATGGAATACTTATCTAAGCTTGAGAATAACTGTTTTTACAATTTTTGTGAAACTGTAAATGATTACCTTTTCCCCATCAGTTTCTGCTTCTTCAAGATTTGAGCTTGCAGAATGTCCGTTACCTAGGTGATTGGCAAAAGGATCCTCCAAAGCTGGCGCTTGATTCCTCTGCTGATTAGGTGCTATACCACTTCCAGGATGAGGGACTGGTGGTCTCATACCAGTCGGTGGAGTGATTGGCCGCTGACCCATCATTTGCTGCTGTGGCTGCTGTACAAAACCTTCCAATAGAGAAATTTGGTTTAAAGGAAAGTATCAGGGAAAGGGAGAAATGCATGAAAATCTGAGAAATACCTTGACCAGATCCCCATCCAGCATTTGAATAACCATGACTAGGTGCTCCCGGGATAGATAACAGAGTTTGATCAAACATGATGCTGCTAGGAAGTGCTGTCGGGAGAGGACGACCTTCTCTATACCGCTCCATCAAATACAATGAAATGCAGAACTCTCTCAAAGAAAGCATAGTATCATTATCCTGATCAGATAATTCCCACACATGCTTCAGTACCTCTGGAACAGGGCAAAAGAAAATTGTTGGCATAAACATTTCATAGCACAATCACTTGCAGATATTGTTAAAGGAACATAAGCCTCAGGAGTGTAGCAAATAAATTTAACATAACAGAACATGGTCTGTCCCATGCAGAAAAGAGACGAGAAAAAAAGTTTCGATAAAAGAATCTTCAATCCAGTATTGAATCTAATTTCAACAGAGGCAACAGTTCATTCATGTAAAATGGACTGAAAGATCGAAGATCCTTACCCCTGGGTAGCCTCCAGCTTAAAAACAGATTCCTTGCCTGCTCACCAGTGATTTTCCCATCCTTGTCACTATCAACTTCCATAAATACCTTTGTGTATTTCTGGACATCGGATGGTTTCATTTTTGGCCATGGAGGCTGATTATTTCCAGCAGGAGTTGAATGGCCAGAACCAACTGCATTTCCAGGTGGCAAACCGGAGGCTGGACCTTGTGAAGACACTGCAGGCTGTGAGCTTGCTGCTGGCCTTGGCTGTTGAGGCTGATTTCCAGCAGGTAGCATTGAGAAAGTGCTCTGTAGGGAGTCAAGAGCATTAGGCTTTGGCGGAGGTTGGGTTCCAGCAGAAGCAGGAACAATGGCTGAACTGACTGAAGAATTACTCAGAGTGGGTTCTTGTTTTGGCTGGTAGGAGGAAAACATATCAGTTCCATTTCCAGACACAACCAGCGCTTTTGGATCAATTTGTGATCCTGGATTTAGGACAGGAGAAGGTGCTGCTAAGTTGCCCCCTCCAAAGTTTGACGAGTATCCGCTGGTGTTTCCAGCATACAAATTATTAAGATCGAGCGTTGAACCACCAGGACCAGATGCACTAGTGGGGACAGCCTGAGGAGGACGAGTAACATTACCAACAGGGGCTTGTTGAAATTGACCTGGTAAAGCACTTGGTCTATATTCTGGACCAGCAGTTGGTCTAAGTGAAGTCATCCCAGATATTCCTTGATTTGGTCTCACTGACTGGTTTTGTTGAGGTGGAAAATAATTCTGATTGACATTCGCATTTGGAGCCCCTGGTCCTCTAAACCCCAAATTTGGAGGACCAGTTGAGGAAACCGGACGGACCGTGTTAGCAGCAGGATTAGGTTGGGGTGCAGGAATAGCTGAAAGGTTGATTTTGGGCGCTGGTATTTTGGCTGCTGCAGGAGTATTCAGTGCTGCATTAACAATCTCAGGCGTCAGGTCTCTCTTGCTCTGTGCTACTGTTACAAGTCTCAGAGAATTATAAAAGTCTTGCCGACCAAGGAAACCACTGCGTGACCGATCAGAAAGCGACCATATCTACAAATGCAGGATACAACTAATCAGTAAACAATCTTATATAGCAAACTCTTAACAAAACCCCTCCAGGGAAATCGTTTCCAATAAGTTTCCAACATAGGCACAAAGTAACTGAAATTTCAACAAATCAATTATCCAGTTTCATCACGCTATGCAAAATATGACATCCTCATGTAGGGGCTGTCAAGTTTGAGCAGAACCAAAACCAGTGGTCTTCCTCTATCAGTGACTATTCTAAAACGAAATGGGAAATGATTTATCAAGGATAGCTTCGCCGAAAGAACACTAGCGAACTTATCTAAACAGCAAAACAATCATTTGAAAGATTCTTAATAGTAATCTGTCCCCGTAACTTCTTATTCAGTTCATAGACTAATCAAAATCTCAGAACATAGCACGCTATTCAAATGGAAGAATCAAAATTACGGCATTTTGGAAACCCAAATTCAGCTGCGTAGAAAATCAAATCAGATCTTTCTCTGGATAATAACTCAGAAAAATCTCCCCATAAACCATCAGAAAGCAGAGATCCAAGACGAAATTTTCACCTGGGCGAGAACTTGCTTAGGCAAACCAGATCCTTGGAAAAATCCTACAGCTTCGGCTCCACTGATCCTACCATCTCCGTCCAAATCTGCTCTCTTGAAGTACGCCTCGAATTGATCCATGTTCGGATTCTGCCCCGCCATCTGAACGGATCGCCGGAGCTACCAGAACTCAGATCAGAGCTCCAAAATCGATCAAATTCCTATCGCCGGTATCCTCCTTGTCCAGACGAAAATTGCCCGATTCGAACAGATGCAACCAAAAATGAAAAAGGCATTTAAAAAAATAAAAACCGTAAAATGACTAACACAGCAAAAGAAAAAAATCGAATCGTCTTCGATGTTCAAAGAAGTCATCGTCGTTGTTTTTCCGGATAATTCTTTTTCAACTTGTTCATAAATGGGCTTTGATAAGCCCACTTCTATCCATCCGAATGTATTGCCGTTCTTTCTTAACAGATGAGAACTGTACGTCGTTTTTAGATATCTAAGCTTGCTTGGAAAGCCGTACCCATAGCAAGATTTTCCCGCCCATATATTAACGCCGCAAAATCCTCAAAGCCCACTTTTTTACCTCTCCCCGTCACCGACTCCGGTGGATCTCGAGGAAGATGGCTTCCGCAACCAGCAAATCGGAATCGAATCATGAAACCAAACAAACCCAAAACTCGAAAACCCCTAAAAATCTCTACCAAATCGGAGGGCTTCAAGTTGAATTCCCTTATCAGCCGTACGGGACGCAGCTTGCGTTCATGAGCCGGGTCATTTCCACGCTCGATCGCGCCCAGAGAGACGGTCACTGCCACGCTTTGCTCGAGTCTCCCACCGGTACTGGTAAATCTCTGTCCTTGCTCTGCTCGGTTCTCGCTTGGCAGCAGAGCTACAAAAAGCGGTTTCCCAAAGTCAATTTGCCTGGTTCGAATGCTGGAAGTGGATCTAAACCGGAGGCACAACCCCCAGGTTCGTGAGGATCCTAATGAAATTGCATCTGTAATCATGTTTAGATTGGGAAAAGTGTTAAATTTTCCAGTCTCTGATAACAGATACTTCTTTACCTAGCAATGTGGGGCCAACTCAACCTGAAGTTCCTACGATATTCTATGCTTCGTAAGAATTTTACAACAGTTAATTATCGAAATGTTGTAGACGAAGTTATGTTTATTGTTCTTATTGTTGTTGATTGTTTGTTTGTTTCTTAGACGAACTCATGCTCAGATCACTCAAGTCATTAGAGAGTATCGGAAAACTGGTTACAGAGTTCCCATGGCTGTATTGGTATGTCAAAAATTTGATCTTGCTTATCTTTTTTGAGGAACTTGTTTGATTTGTGGTTGATCAAAAATAATAACTTGATTGTGTTAGGGTTCACGTAAACGTTACTGTACCAATCCTAAAGTACAGGGGAAAGAGAATGTAGACGAAAAATGGTAAATTTTCATTAGTCCAATCTCATTATCATTTTCAAGCTCTATACTAACGAAAATCTATGCTTTTTTCTAGTCGGATGCTTCTTAGAGATAAGAAGAAGGAAAACGCAAAATGTGCCGAGTTCAAGTGAGTTTTTTTTTTACTGATAATCCAAGTTCTTTGTTTATTTTTCCTCTTTTTGTGGTGAAAATCATGTAATTTGGTTGTCCTTAACTTCCAGACGCGTCGATCATGTCTTAGCTGACCCATCACTTCAGCGCAATGGGGTTCATGATATTGAAGATCTTGTAAAAATTGGAAAAACTGTTAGAGGTTGGTTTAATTTATTTTTTACCTTCTAATCGATTGTGCTTTTTTTTTCATTTTCTTAATCTCTAGTCATTTTCCTTTTAGGCTGTCCATATTATGCTTCTTGGAGACTGGAGGAGGTCGCACAATTGGTTTTTTGCCCTTATTCCTATATAATTGATCCTGTTATTAGAGGAGGAATAAATCTGACAGGAGCTATCATAATCTTTGATGAAGCACAGTAATCTTCAAAACCTTCTTAGTTTCAATTTATTTACACACTTTTAATTTGCTGTTATGAAACATACGTCTGCAAATGTATTGTGATGTTGGTGGTTAAGGCCTTATACTAAGCACTTTATACTGTCCACAGCAATATGGAAGACATTGCTCGTGAAGCAGGAAGCATTAACTTGGAAGAAGAGACTCTTTTTAGTATGTGCTTCTCAAACTATCACTGCAGTTATTAATGTTTTTGTTCACTAACGTGGCTTAGTGTTATGCAGAATTGCAGAAGGAACTAGAACAGGTGAGTGAGGAGGACCAAGAGACATATCAACCGGCATGTTACATAGTAGAGGTAAGTCATTATCTGCAAGATAATATTCAGAGTTATCTTTTCGGTGATTACTTTTTTGATATAGAGTGTTCTACTTCTATGTATCTAGGGATTGATAAGCTGGATTGGGAGAAAAAAGGATTCTCTAGCAAAACGTGATTCTGAGCACTATTTCTCTGGGTAAAGAATAAAGGATTCGTTTTTTTTTTTCAAATGTAACTCCTAGGAGGCAAGCTGATTTATATGATGCTTATCATGTGACAGCTGGACTGGAGACAAAGCTTTAAGAGAGCTTAAGGAATGTCGCATCACTCGAGAATGCTTGGAATGTTTTCAGATGGTAAGTCATTTCTTCTATGTTATCTAGCTAGGCCCACAATGATTGCTTAATACGAAAGCTGGAATGTGACATTGTTCTTACATTGGTCAAAGGCGATCACAAGCTCAGAGGCAGCAGAAACGGAACCAGATATGCCTTATTTGAGTGGGACATCTCTCACGACACTAAAAGGTTTTGTTTCTGGCGTCTCGCTTACTTTATTAAGCATTGATCTCTGTAACATAATTTCAAAAATAAAATCGTCATGCAGAGTTGTCATCTACACTTAAATACTTCTTTTCGAGAAAAGGAAGTCACATTCTAGATTACGAACTTGGTTTACAACGCTCTCGTAAAAGAGGTACAAGTGAATTTATTTTTGTATAGACCTGTTTAGCCAAATGTGTGAAAGCTTTACCATGTTTATTGTTGCTCTTCTGGGATCATGCAGGAGATCCTTCTGAAACCTGGACGCATACTTTCAGTTTATGGTGCTTGAATCCGTCTTTTGTGTTCAAAGACTTGGCTGATCTTTCTTTATCTATCATTTTAACATCTGGGTAAGCAGTTGCATGTTTATTGTTGCTCTATTTTTCATTTTTTCTTGAGATATCTATTTCAGTAATGATTAAGTTTTAAGTTTCTTGGCTGTGAAATTATAGGACATTGTCACCGATGAATTCTTTCTCATCTGAACTTGGGATGCAGTTTGGGACTAGTTTAGAGGCTCCACATGTGATTGATGCTAATCTTCAGGTTCTCACTAAAAAGCAATCCACTTTAGCAACAGATTATTCTTTTTCAGAAATGAATGTATGATTTAACAGCATCTTTGTTCCAGGTGTGGGCTGGTGGAATCTCCAGCGGTCCTGGTAACTTTCCACTTAATGCAAGTTATAAAACAGCTGATGCATTGACATTCCAGGTACTGGTTCAAGCTCTTTTTTTTTTCCCTGTTAATGTGTTCTTCTTGTACTGTGATGCAATATTACTCTGCTCTGTAGGATGCTCTAGGGAAATCGTTGGAGGAGATTTTCAATACTGTACCATGTGGCGCTCTCGTATTCTTTCCAAGCTATAAGCTGATGGAAAAACTCAGCACGCGTTGGCAGGAAACTGGACAATGGTCTCGACTTTGCTCCATAAAGGAGAATTTTATTGGTAAGTAACAACTGTTGCTACAATTACAAATCCTATAACAATGCATTTTGTGAATAACTTTCTTTGGTTGCAGAACCAAGAGGAGGAGCCAAGGACGACTTCGATGCTGTTTTGAAGGGATATTATGACTGTATACGCGAAAAGAAAGGAGCTGCATTTCTTGCTGTATGTAGAGGCAAGGTTTGTTTTTTCTTAGTCATCTTGGTTTTTATATTTGGTGTTCATTTGAATACTGCAATCCAAATCTCAACGTATGGGTGTAACTGGACCCTATGAGCATGGCATGGGGTAGCTTTTACCTGGATTTGAGTTCTTAAGTCTCAATGTTTCTCATGCACAGGTTTCAGAAGGACTTGATTTTAGTGATGACAATGCCAGGGCAGTGGTATCCTTTTTTTTTTCACTATAGTCCTCTGTTGTTATTGATAAATAGGATTTATAGTTTTACTGCTTATATGAGTTTGGCTGTTAAACCTTGATGATTACGAAACAGATACTTATTGGCATTCCATTTCCAAACTTGTAAGTATTTCAATTCCCTTTAAAAGGTCCATGTTGAGAGGAACAGTTTTTACTAAACAATCACTTTATTGGCAGGCATGATATTCTAGTGGAACTAAAGAGAAAATATAATGATACTTACAAATCATCTAAGAACCTTCTTGGAGGGAGTGAGTGGTATTGCCAACAGGCTTATCGTGCATTAAACCAAGCAGCAGGTGCAATGTAAATGTGATGTAACTTGGCTCATGTCAATATAAACACTATATAACAACAATTGTATTTCTTGTTTACAGGGCGATGTATCCGGCATAGGTTTGATTATGGTGCCATCATATTTTTAGGTAATTTTAAGATGATAATATCTGTAGACAGTCACACTTCTCAACTCTATTAAAGCGTTTTTGTTTTGATATTTCAGATGAACGATACAGACAACCAAGGAACAGAGCGTCTATTTCAAAGTGGCTAAGGCAATCTATCAATCTGTATGATAGTTTTGAATCTTCAATGGAAGGCTTAAAGTCTTTTTTCAACACTGTCAAGGTTTTATTTTAAACCATCTCATTCTCTTCCATGAAAATTTATGACATAATAATCATTAAATTTCTCTGAGAATTGCTTGCAGGAACGAGTTGACAGTAAGATGTTAGGTTCCCAAGATAGTACTGTTGAGCAGAAACCAAAGATATCTGAAATTTCGAGATCCATGCGGCAACCTGGTTTGAACAATGGAACCTCCATTTCAGAGTTATCGTCTCCACCTGCTCAGACATTCATTCGAGTTAAAGAGGAACCTAAATGCTACAAATACAAAGAAGTCATTGACCTTGAGTGTGGTGTTCAACCTGAGCCTGCAGGGTAAATATATAAGATTCAGTCACAGCATAACTAAAAAACTTTGATTTGAAGTTGTGCAGAATGTAAGAATAAACTTTAAAAACTGTCACATGTGCAGGTGTTGTGAGGTGTCGTCGGTGACCAACTGTGATGAAGATCCAGAAACTTCTTTTGTTAGGGGAACCTCTTGTATGATCAAAGGTTGTTCAGCAGCCAGTTCGTGTTCTTGCTCGAAGAATGAAAGCTCGAGCTCAGCAACAGGTTTTAGATCTCTGAGGTCTCCTGATCAGTTCTTAAAGCAGCATAGATCTACTGCAAGTTTCAGAAAAACTCCTCTTGGAGCTGAATCGTCTGTAACTCCAGAGAGACATTCCATTGGTGATTTGACTCCAGAAGCAGAGTCATCTTATAAAAAAAGTGTTAATTCCCATGCTCTGAAGAGAAGAAAGTTTATTAGCTCTCCAGTCATCATTGATCTTGAAGAAGAAGACAACAGTAATGATCCTAGTACTAGACCAGCGGATCACACGAGTTTCACAAGAAGAATTGAATTTGGGTTTGGTGGTAACGAACCAAGATCCCAAAACTACAATGTATCTTGTTCTATCTGCAGAAGTCCTTTAGGTCACCCTGAGAGCCACTCATACATCAGTTGCTCCTTGACTTCGTCGTCCAAAACGTATTTGATGTCTCTGCTGAAAGAAACATCAGGAAGTGGTTCTTCAGAAATGCCAACAAGTGTTTCAGTTGTCATGACAGACAGCTCATTGGTTAATCAGAGACTCTGCAGAAGTTCTGAAGGCTCAAAAGCTATTTGGTGCGACGAAGATGGATGTGTTTTCAATTCTATCTTCTGCCCTTTCTGCAATATCCCAAACACTTGTCTTGGAGTCCAAGTCATGGCAACTGATTCGTCAAATGTCCAGTTTATGAGAAAAGTAAGCTGACCTCCTTTGTTGCAGATTCTTCAGAGTAGTAACTATCTCTCATTTATGATTTTGTGTTCATTGTCTTGATCTGTAATTTACTTGTTGCAGACTTTGTTCTTTGCTGATCAAGTAGATGTCACAGAAGTTGATGCAAGCAAGGAAACAGCGTTAAAGCATAAGGTATGAGAAGCAACTTGAGGTTTCATTTGGAATACTGAGTTTCAAGTTCCCTAACCTTGGTGTTAACTAGCTTCTTCACCTGTGCAGTTGAGATTGCCAAAGCAAGAGGACCCAGAAAACTAATGCTATCATGCATCCACAAGCTGAACTGGTCTGATTCACAATGAGGTGGCTAGTCAAGCCAACCACACTGACATCAAGTTGGCTTGAACCGCCTCCGGTTGGAACCGTTCATATTGTTTTCCACTATCGTTCCCAAATCTAATATAGCTTCGAAAAATAGTCCTCTTGTTATTTGAGAAATAGGATTTTATATGAAACCGGTGTTAAACCTTGATGATTACGTAACAGATAATTATATTCTTTTTAAAATTTCTATTCTAGCTTCGTTCCAAGATGGTCCATCTTGAGAGAAAGGCTATGAATGGTGAAGGTTAGAGTAAGCGGAAGTAAATGAAAGAAAAGTAATTGAGAGGGATGAAAAAATGAAAGTTAGAGTAAAAGTGTTTTACTCCATAGAAAATGAGTGTTATAAATAACGCTGTATATGGCGTTATTGGGCGAGAAAATCATTTTGTGTTCTCCACTTGAATGGTTAATAACCAGCGTAAATGAGAGTAAAAAATATTTTCCATCTAATCTTTTATCCTAACTTGACCATCCATTCATACCCGAACAGTTTTTATTAACAATCACTTTATTGGTAGGGGTGATATTCTAGTGGAACTAAAGAGAAAATATAAAGATACGTAAAAATCATCTAGGAACCTTGTTGGAGGTAGTGAGTGGTATTGTCAACAAGCCTGTCGTGCTTTAAACCAACCAGCAGGTGCAATTAATGTGTATGTGATGTAACTTGCCTCATGTCAGTATTATTAACACTATATAACAACAATTGTATTTCTTCTTTACAGGGCGATGTATTCGGCATAGGTTTGGTTATGGTATCATCATATTTTTAGGTAATTATAAGATGTTAATATCTCTAGATTGTCACACTGCTCAAATCTGTTAAAACTTTTTTTTTGTTTTGATATTTCAGATGAACGATACAGACAACCAAGGAACAGAGCCTCTATTTCAAAGTGGCTAAGGCAGTCTATCAATCTGTATGATAATTTTGAAGATTCTATGGAAGGCTTAAGATCTCTTTTCAACACTCAAAAGGTTTTAAACCATCTCATTCCCTTCCATGAAACTTTGTTTTACATAATACTCATTAAATTTCTCATGAGAATTGCCTGCAGGAACCCGTTGACAGTAAGATGTTAGGGTTCCAAGACAAAACTGTTGAGCAGAAGTCAAAGATAGCTAAAGTTTCGAGATCCAAGCGGCTTTCTTGTTTAAGAAATGGAACCTCCATTTCACGGTCATCATCTCCACCGGCTCAGACATTCATTCAAGTTAAAGAGGAAGCTAAAACATAAGAGTCTCTCAAACTCAACAAATTGGATTTGATATTTTGGTTTTTCATTTGTTTTTTTGGATGAGAAACTACTATTGGAGAGTTGCTGTAAAACAAGTGCCAATGAGAGTTTACGAAACGACCAAAATAAACAAATAAGCCCACTTAAGGTCCATTTATTACACGGTATACGAAAGTATTGCCGTTTGTTCAATCATAAACGATCAGAACTGTACGTCGTTTTTAGGTCTCACCCCTGCCTTTACGGGCGCCAAAAAAAATAGAAGCTCGAAAAATTGGTAGTATTTTCCCTCCCATTTATCAACAACGCAAATTTCTCGAACTACACTCCTCCTACTTCGTCATTTCTCCCGTCACCGACTCCGAAGGATCTCGACGACGATGGTTTCCACAACCAGCAAATCGGATTCGAAGCACGAGGAGAGACAAACCCTAAACTCGAAAACCCCTAAAAATCTCTACCAAATCGGAGGACTTCAAGTCGAATTCCCTTATCAGCCGTACGGGACCCAGCTAGCGTTCATGAGCCGGGTCATTTCTACGCTCGATCGCGCCCAGAGAGACGGTCACTGCCACGCGCTGCTCGAGTCTCCCACCGGTACGGGGAAATCTCTGTCCTTGCTCTGCTCGGTTCTCGCTTGGCAGCAGAACTATAAATCGCGGCTTCTCAAAGGGAATTTGTCTCATTCGAAACCTGCGCCGGAAGCAGCCACCGATCCATTGAATCATGGAGGCGGATTCATACCGGAAACCCAACCCTCAGGTTCGTCAATCGTCATGACCTTTATGAAATTGCATCTGTGACTGGATTAATTAATTTTTAATTTTTAATTTGGGGGTTTATCTCTGAATTAGATACTCCTTTACCTAGCAATGCGGAGGCAACTAAGAAAAGAGCCAAAATTCCTACGATATACTATGCTTCGTAAGCTTTACATCAACAATTTTGGAAATGTTTCAAATAAAATTATAATTTTCTTGTTATCATTGATTGATTGTTTGATTTTGCCTTGAAGACGAACTCATTCTCAGATAACTCAAGTAATTCGTGAGTATCGGAAAACTGGTTACAGAGTTCCCATGGCCGTATTGGTATGTCAAAATTGATTTGCCTCTCTTTTGTTAATCAAGATTCATATTTTATTCACCGCACTCCTAAAAAGTTGTATTGTTTCCTTCTTATGTCCATCTTCATTGTGTAAGGCTTCACGGAAACATTACTGCACTAATCGTCATGTTCATGGGAAAGACAATGTAGATGAAGAATGGTAAGTTTCCATCCACATTCATACCATTTCACCATTCTTTTCAGTTATGGCTTAACCTCTAAAGTAACATGTGCTCTCTTTTCTTGACAGTCGGTTGCTCCTAAAAGATAAGGGAAACATACAATGTTCTGAGTTCAAGTGAGTTTTTGTTGTGATAATCTAAGTTCTTTGTTTTCCCCCTTTTGTTGCTAGCTCTTCGAATCATGTAATTGTTTTCCTTAACTTACAGGAACGTTAGTAAAATCACAGCTCATCCATCACTTCAGCCAAGAGGTCACAATGAGGTTCACGATATTGAGGATCTTGTAAAAGTTGGAAAAAATGTTAGAGGTTAGGTTTGGTTGAATTTTTAATTTTTTATTTGATGTATCTTTCTGTATCTTGATCTCGAATAAATTTCTTGTAGGGTGTCCTTATTATGCTTCCTGGACAATGGCGGAGAATGCACAGTTGATTTTTTGCCCTTATTCCTATATAGTCAATCCTGTCATTCGAGCAGGAGTTGAAGTAGATCTGAAAGGAGCGATCATTATCTTTGATGAAGCACAGTAAGCTTCAGAAATTTCTTAGTTTTAGTGTCCTTTACACTTATAATTTGCTGGTACAGAACATTAGTATTCAAATAACTTAGCATGCTTGGTAAAGTTGATGGTTAAGGCCTTCTACTAAACACTTTCACTGTCCACAGCAATATGGAAGACATTGCTCGTGAAGCAGGAAGCATTAACTTGGAAGAAGATACTCTTTTTAGTATGTGCTACTCAAACTATCCCTGCAGTTATTAATGGTTTTGTTCACTTAAGTTTACTTTACTAATGTGTCTTAGCGTTATGCAGAACTTCAGAATGAACTAGAACAGATGAGTGTGGGGCAGCCAATGATATATCAACCCTTGTGTGAAGTAATAGAGGTAATTCATTAGTTCAAAGATAAATTCGGAGGTACCTTTTAATGTCTACTATGTAATAACGGCTGTTCTATGTATTTAGGGATTGATAAGCTGGATTGGAAGAAAAAAGGATTCGCTAGCAAAACGTGATTTCCAGCACTATTTCTCTAGGTAAGTGGAAACTCTTCATTCAGTCATCTCCTTTACTTAGAATTTCTAAAAAGGGTTCCAACTGTATCTATAGTCGTCTTGGTTTTCTTATTACTCCCTGAGAACTGGTTTTGTTTGGACAACTCCTAACAGATGAATACATTTGTGACTGAAGTATGGTATATATAGACCTCGTGATGACCCACCAGAAACGTCAACTATTGTGCATATATTTGCATGTAGGCAGAGTATGAATTGATATATAAAGGATCAGACTTTCGTCTAGTATTAACAGAAAGAATGCTCTAGGAACTTTTTTTCCCGAAAACATATCTAGTTGAGAAGGAAACTCGTCTTTGTAAAACAGTAACTAAGCATCTTTTTCTGATCAAAAATGATATGATAATGGCTACATTCTTTTTTTCTTCTTTTCATAGCTTGGCTGTTACAGCATCATTTAAGCAATTTTCTAAAAAAGTAATTCATCAGGGTTTGAGTGAAAATAATACTTTTCTGTTTGTCATGTGACAGCTGGACCGGAGACAAAGCTTTAAGAGAACTTGAGGAATCTAATATCAGTCGAGAATGCTTCCCAATCTTATTGGAATGCTTTACAAAGGTAAGTCATTTCTTCTATGTTATCTGGCGAGGCTCACAGGCCTTTATATGATGCTTGACTGTGACGTTATTCTTACTGGTCAAGGCGATCAGAACATCAAAGGAAGCAGAAATGGAACCAGATATGCCTCATTTGAGCGGGATATCTGTCTTGACATTAGAAGGTTTTTTACGTCTCACTATTTTTATTAAGCAATTTTCTTTGTAATAACATTTTGAGGATGAGAGCTTATTTCACAATGTTTGTGCAGAATTGTTCGCTTCACTTACATACTTCTTTTCAAGAAATGGAATTCACATCTTAGATTACCAACTGGGTTTACAACGCTCTACTAAAAGAGGTACAAGTGAATTTTTATATACCTGATTAGCCGAATGTGAACTTTACCCATCTGTGAAAACAAACCGTATTCACTGTTGCTCTACGGGGATGCAGGAGACTCTTCTGGTACCTGGACGCATACTTTCAGTTTGTGGTGCATGAATCCGTCTGTTGTTTTCAAAGACCTAGCTGAGCTTTCTTTATCCACCATTTTAACATCTGGGTAAGCAGTATCTTGTTGCTTGCTATTGCTTCTGTAAATAATTATGCTACCCTTTTCAAAGTCACGTACACCTTTTTCATCTGAAGCTTTTTTCAAGTAACAACTGTTTGCTACCTCATTATATATGGTCTTATTAAAATCCACGATGTCATCAATGTGCATTGATCATACTTATATATTGTTAGTTAAGTTTACAACAATTTTGTTTGCAGTCCTATTTGTACTTCAACATTATATCTGTGCATAGTGTTTTACTCTTAATCCGTAACCCACTGGCTATTGTTTTGCTATATTTCACTATTTCTTGAGCCATCTATTTCAGTAATGATTAAGTTTCGAGTTTCTTGGCTGTGTTGTATAGGACTTTATCACCGATGAATTCTTTCTCATCTGAACTTGGGATGCAGTTTGGCACTAGTTTAGAGGCTCCACATGTGATTGATGCGAATCTGCAGGTTCTGACTAAATCTCTTCACTTAGCAACAGTTTCCACTTTCCAGAACTGAATGTGATTTAACAGCCTCTTTGTTCCAGGTGTGGGCTGGTGCAATCTCCAATGGTCGTGGAAATAATCCTCTAAATGCAAGTTATAAAACAGCTGATACCTTGACGTTCCAGGTACTGGGCATTATAGTATTTTGTTCAAGCTCTTTTTCTTGTACTGTGATGCAATATTTTCGTTTATCGTAAACACAATGCTTACTTTTCTTTGCAGGATGCTCTAGGGAAATCGTTGGAAGAAATATGCTCTATTGTACCAGGTGGCTCTCTTATATTCTTTCCAAGCTATAAGTTGATGGAAAAACTCTGCACTCGTTGGCGTGAAACGGGACAATGGTCTCGACTGTGCTTGAAAAAGGACCTTTATGTTGGTGAGTAACATATATTTTCTGACTTCTGTGATTCTGTGAAAACTGTTGCAACAAATCCTACACTGATGCATTTTTTTCTTGCCAAAATTATCAACTAACTGTCCTTGGCTGCAGAACCAAGAGGAGGAGCCCAGGAAGAATTCGATTCTGTTCTGAAGGATTATTATGATTCTATACGTGGAAAGATCAGATTGATCGGAAGGAATAGAAGAGTTAAGAAAACAGGGACTGTTAAAACTGAGACTCAAAATGATTTCAAGAAAGGCGCTGCATTTCTTGCAGTATTTAGAGGAAAGGTTTGTGTTTCTTATGTCTTGGTCTCTATAATTGATGTTCAATTAAACAGAACAATCCAATCTAATCCTATTAGCATGACATGGGACTTTTACCTCTCATGAAATATAACGTACTTGAAAATTTGAGATATGAGTTTGAAGTCTTTGTTTCTCACAGGTTTCAGAAGGGATTGACTTTTCTGATGACAACGCCAGGGCAGTGGTATGCTGTTCACCTGCATTGTTGTTTTCTCATCTGAAGTTATAAGAGTATTTTTATAAATAGGATTTATACTGCTCTAATTGGCTGTTAAACCTTGATTGTTACATACAGATAGTTGTTGGCATTCCATTTCCAAACTTGTAAGGATTCTATTACCCTTTAAAATATCTCAACTTTATTCCAATCTCAAATCCATCTTGGAAGCAGTTAATTAATTAATCAAACTCTTTCTTGGCAGGCATGATCTTCAAGTCGGACTAAAGAAAAAATATAATGATACGTACAAATCATCTAAAAACCTTCTTGGAGGGAGTGACTGGTATTGCCAACAGGCGTATCGTGCTTTAAATCAAGCTGCAGGTGCGATGTGATGTGATAACTTGCATTCTGTCACTTGTTAGAGATTTAATATAGAAGTGAACCAAGTGTTTTTCTTTTACAGGGCGATGTATCCGGCATAGGTTTGATTATGGTGCCATCATATTTTTGGGTAACTATAATATTTCAATATCTGTCGATAGTCACTGCTCAACTCTATCAGAGCGTTTTGCTCGATTTAGTAATGATAGCTCTGAGGTTACCTTGTTTTGGTGTCCAGATGAACGATACAGAGAACAAAGGAACACAGCATCTATTTCAAAGTGGCTAAGGCAGTCTATCAAACAGTACGATAATTTTGAAGAATCTATGGAAGGGTTAAGATCTTTTTTCAACACTGTCAAGGTTCAAACCAACTCAATCCCTTCCATGAAACTTTATTGCATAATCACTAAAGTTCTTTGAGAATTGCTTGCAGGAGCAAGTTGACAGTAAGATGTTAGGGTCCCCGGATTATACTGTTGAGCAAAACATTTCCTCGGAAAACCCAAGCAACGAATGCAAAAGGAAGGAAAATCATATTCAGAACAAATCTAGTCATGCGGAACCAAAAGTACATTCTAAAAGCAAACAATTATATTTCTGTTTGGTGGTGTTTTCTCATAAATTCATTTTATTATTGCTCACGAAGTTGTTTACAGGATATCTCGTCTATGAAAGTGGAGGACTATACAAGTTTGAATCCAGAATATTCTTTTACGCACGAAAGCAAGGCCTTTTTGGATCACAAAGACTGGAAACCAAAAACAGCTGAAGGTTCCAGATTCATCCAGAACTATGGAACCTCCATTTCACGGTTATCATCTCCACCCGCTCAGACATTCATTCAAGTTAAAGAGGAGTCTAAATCCTACAAAGAAGTCATTGACCTCGAGTGCGGTGTCCAACCTGAGCCTGGGTAAAAATATCAGACAAGTTTTGTTGAATACTTATCCGGGACATATAAGATACATGCCATATCTGGTCCTTAAGTAACTGTTTGCTAGAGTTAGTTTCAACTACAAGAACTAGACTATATATATCATGTGAACTTAACTACTATCATGTGCAGGTGTTGCGAGGTGTCATCAGTGACCAACTGTGATGAAGATCCAGAAACATCTTTTGTCAAGGAAACCTCGAAGAATGGTATTTCAGCAGCCAGTTCATATTCTTTCTCGAAGAATGAAAGCTCTAGCCCAGTAATAATGGGACTGAGACCTCCTGATCAATTATTAAAGCAGCATATATCTACTCCAGATTTCAGAAAATCTCCTTTCAGGGCCGAGTCGTCTGTAATAGCAACTCCTGAGAGATATGCCATTGGTGAAACCCATGATTTGACTCCAGAAGCTGCTTCATCTTTTGACGTGAGTGTTAATTCCCATGCCTTGAAGAGAAGAAAGTTTACAAGCTCTCCGGTCATTGACCTTGAAGAAGAAAACAATGATGATCCCAATACTAGACCTTCGGATCACACGAGTTTAACAAGAAGAATCGAATTTGGGTTTGGAAGTACCGAACCAAGATCTCAAAACCACAACATATATGCTTTTCCAGAAGGGAATCAGAAAGTGCAGATATCTTGTTCGCTCTGCAAAAGTTCATTAGGTCACCCTGAGAACCAGTCATATCTCAGTTGCTTGTTCACTTCGTCGTCCAAAACCTATCTGCTGTCTCTTCTGAAAGAAACATCAGGAAGTGATGCTGCAGAAAGACCAACACGTGTTTCAATTATCATGACAGATTGCTCAATGGTTAATCAGAGACTCTGCAGAAGCTTTGAAGGCTCCAAAGGTCAGGGTGTTTGGTGCGAGCAAGATGGTTGTGTTTTCAATACAATCTTTTGCCCTTTCTGCAGTATCCCAAATACTTGTCTCGGCGTGCAAGTCATGGCTACTGATTCATCAAATGTCCAGTTTCTGAGCAAAGTAAGCTTGACTCTAGTTATCCCTCTTTTCTAATTTGTTATATAGTCTTCAGGTCGATAACATGAAGATCCAATTTTACATGTTTGCAGATATTGTTCTTTGCTGATCATCTTGAGGTCTTTGATGATGCTGCAAGCAAGGAAACTGCATTAAAGCACAAGGTACTCTTGCACTACTGCTTCTTGCATACAGTTAGATCCGAGAAATAAAATTAATGGAGACGCAATTTTGGAGTAGAACCAAAATGTTTGTAGGACAAAGCTTGACAGTATATGATGTGTCTACATATAGTTTTTGGATTAATCTCATTGTATTATGAATGAACAAGAATCTTTCTATTGGTGTTGTAGGAATCTCTTGATGCCACCAATACAGCTGTGGATAAGAGTGATATGTTCAAGTCAATAGAGAGATTTACATACTCTGCAAAGCAGCAGCAAGATTCAGGAGGCTGGAGGACTACAAAATCAAAGGTCTGTAAAAGATACATTAACACGCATTCCGGTTTCAAACTCTGTTAACGTCAATCTGAATTATCTTCTTCATTTGTGCAGTTGAGACTACCAAAACGTAGTTTGCCAACAAGCAAGAAGGCCTAGAAAGAAAAAAAAGGGATTTTTTTCACTCATCAACAAGCTGAGCAGATCTTGAGTGATCCTAATGAGGGAGACTCAAGTTGTCATAAACCGATGTGAAGCAAGGAACATTACTACTGTGGTTTTCAGATCGTGGCAATCCCGCAGCTCATGGTGATCGGTCATATGTACATACAAATTTTGTTTCCCTTCTTTATATGAATACAAGTTTATAGTCTTTGAAAACTCTTATGATATGTATATTGAAATAGTGATTGCTTCACACTATGAAAGCGGAGAGAAAGACAATTGACAAATCATATGGCAATCTCAAATAATGTCAATCTCTTACCGTCAAACTACAAGTAAAACCATATTTTCTCTTCAAATCATTATTGATAAGCAATCAACTGCGTTTATGTTGAAATCACACACTTACACGTACGATAATATCCTTTTTTATCATCGAGGCAACCAAATATTGTTTTAGTTTAGTAAAAACTAAAAATAGAGAAACGATACTAGAGTTCTTCATCTGTCTCTCTATACCAATTTAGCTCTGGCGATAATTCCCCTCACTCAACAAATGCTCGATCCCTAAAACCACAAAAGAATAATATTCATGATTACAATATATATCATATTAATTATTAACTAACATTAATAAACTAAATTTCCACAATTTACAAAGAAAAATAAGACACCTAACCCAACGTAACAAAAAACCAAATGCATGCATATATATAGACGTAAAAATCATATGGAAAAAAAAAACTCAAGCTATATTTTTACCTAAATCAGGAGTCGGGAAAAGAATATGGTCATAAGACTCAAACCCTCCAGATTCTCCACAGCTCCTCCTCTCTTCATGCTCAGTCGTCACCGCCGCGTCATCGGCCTGATCAGTCAACGTCGTCGTCGTTTGAGGGTGCTTTCGTTTGGACCGAGCCCGCCGGTTCTGAAACCAATTGTAGACATTTTTCTCTGTGATTTGTCCGTGTTCAGACAGCTCTGTCGCGATCTCTATAACTCTCTTTGGATTAGGTGTTCCGCTTCCTAATTCATCGTAAATGCGCTCGAGAATCTGAAGTTGCTTCGAAGTCGGAGTCCATCTATATCGAGTCGATACTCTATGACCGCTTGATGATGCCACCGTCGGATCAAAGTATCCGCCACCGATTGGATTCAATCCTATTGATAAGGACAGATAAATTATAGTTACGTGACCTATAAGTTACTTTGTGATAAAAAAACGAAGACATATATAACGTGATTGTTTGAGAAAGTGTACCTGATGAGAGAGGATGGCAAGAGGAGAGAGAATTGTGGAGGAGGAGGAGCTGTTCACAAATAATGGTGTAAATGGCGATCTGCTTCCGGAGAGTCTCCATTTGCTCCTCCGTCATAACTCTACCGTCGTACTCACTGTTTTGGCTCTCTCTCTCCATCTCCTTCACTACTCTGCTTTTCTTCTCTTCCTCTTTTTACCATATGAAGAAGACAATATGAGAAAAGTAAATGATTTACATATCCTTTTAATTTATCTAATGAGAAGAAAAGAATCGTTAATTTATTTGGTATCTTTAAATCTAAACACCGTTTTGGAAATATCTCTTGACTAAAGATCAATTTGTTCCGATCTGATTTTTCTCAGTTGTCAGCTTGATAGAGATTGTTCTCAGTTACAATTGGATCATAATTGATAATAATAATATTAGATTCTAATTCTGATATTAATCAAAACACCAAGTGATTCAATATGGTCTACGTACTCGAAAAAATTGTATGGAAACTCAATGATACAACAAAGTAAACAGTCTCACGCTATTTAGTGGCAATAGTAGATAATACAAAAAGTGTCATGTTGTTTGTTTCCCATATGCTTTTCTGATGTTATTTTCAGTGTGTGTGTTTTTTTTCACATCATTTTTCCCTCTGATCCTGACGCAGATTTGGGCATAACAGTTTGGGAAACACAAAAGCTACAATAAAGGACTTGGTAAAGTCACACACAGTACAAAAAAATACAAAATAATGTCATTTTAAACTGAGACAAGACAACCAAATATTGCTTACTGCTTAGTGTTGTGGAAACACAGAGAAGAGAAGCCAAAGAGATTAGAGACTCATCTTTGTTTTTATTTCAGTCTATATGAACTTAACTCTCCAGAAATTTCCCCTCTACTCAACAAATGCTCAATCCCTGAAATCACAAAAAAAAACAACCGCTCTTTTCATTATTTACATAAAAATCAAACAGAGCAAGACCAAAATTCAAACCGACCGAAACTTAAAAACCAACAGCAGAGGTCTAAAATCATATGGAAGAAGGTCAATTTTGTTATTTTGAAAGAATAAAAACACCTATTTAGTATTTACCTAAATCAGGACTGGGGAAGAGTATATGGTCATAAGACTCAAATCCTCCAGAATCTCCACAAGTCCTCCTCTCCTCATCCTCAGTCGTCACGGCCGCATCATCGGCCTGACCAGTCGTCGTCGTCGTCGTCTGAGGCTTTCGTTTGGACCGAGCACGCCGGTTCTGAAACCAGTTGTAAACATTTGTCTCTGTGATCTGTCCGAGTTCAGACAGTTCCGTAGCGATCTCTCTAATCCTCAGACGATTCGGTGTTCCACTTCCTTCCTCGTAAAGACTCTCAAGTATTTGAAGCTGCTTCGATGTCGGAGTCCATCGTTGCCGACTCGACATCCTATGAGCGCTTGATGATGCCACCATCGAATCAATGTATCCATTTGTTCCTATACGTGAGCCTTAAGTTTCTTCCAAGTACAAATATGTATTATTTCTAACCGCAAATGCGATTGTGAATCGCTAAGAATTGAGAAAAACGTTTTGAATTCTTGTGGTGTATACCAAACGCAAACGCAAACGCAGTTTACACCATCTTACACTTCAAGTAGTAGTAAGATGTGTCAACTGGAGAAAACGTTTGAATCTCAAAACGCTGCGTTTGGAAACTTCCTTCCGAAACTCACATATTTTACCGTTCACAAAAAGATACTCATATGGTCTTATGAAAGATCCGAAGACATGTACAGTGATTGTCTTTATATCAGAAGAACATACACACACGCACACAATAGTATATAGAGATAGAAGTGTACCTGAAGCTGATGAGAGAGGATGGAAAGAAGAGAGAGAATTGTGGAGGACGGCGAGCTGTTCACAAATGACGGCGTAAATGGCGATCTGCTTACGGAGAACCTCCATCTGCTCCTCCGTCATAACTCTACTACCATCATACTCACCGTTTTGGATATCTCTCTCCATCTCCTTCACAACTTTGCTTTCTCCTCTTCCCTTTTTACCATGAGAAAGTGAATGATTTATATCTCTCTCTCTGTTTTATAATAAAGGATCTTTAGTTTATTTGTTACCGTTAAACTAATCACTTTTTGGAAAGATTTCTTGACTAATGATTAAATTGTCCGATTTGATTTTTCTCAGTTACCGGTTTATTATTAAGTGATACGATTGGATTATAACTCTTTATATAAGTGATCATATTAGTTTTTAATTCTGTAAATATATAAGAGCTATATAACCATCCATTGTATAGAAAAAAAAGATTGGCTTAAATTTAAAAACATTGGAAAACTATGGTCGTAGCCTCATAGCTATGATCGGTTTTGGTCAACCGTGTTCACTATTTAGCGTTAAAATTTCAACATTTTTATTCGAGTTTTACGGGTCAATCCACCAATTGCAAAAAGGTGTTATTCCAAAATATCTTAGATGATCTTAATCCTAGGTGTTGATGACATAATAAGACACAACACTTTAATATATAAAACACAATTAATTCAAGGTATCATCACATTAGTAGCTTTTCTTGTATTCGTAGAGGAACGCAAACATGTACAGTACTTTGCTTTTTATATGTAGTGGTTAGGTAAAGCCGGAAGCAATGCTTAATAACAGCATAATATAAAATACTATCGTTGTGAGACTTGTGACTGCTAATTAAAAACACTATAAGAAAAGAGCATGCTTTCTTTTTCTTTGTTGTGATTACGAAGAAAATGTATGAAATTACGACCAAAAAGGTTCTTAAAAACTTAAGTGAGGAATGAGCTTCCCCACTATTCTGCTGCTATTACGCGGATTCCACTCTCAATCTTCACTTTTATCCACAATGATCAAAATTCAACATATTTCTTATATCCGTCCTTAGGAAATCTAATCCTGTATCATCTTTTTTGTTATAGAAAAAGATGAAAAGAGAACCAAATCATCATGGCGTTGGTCTTTGAAAAGAAGGCCTTCAAACAATTTTACAAACCTTTTGTAGCTAAAGTCAATTCAACCAAACAAAAAAGTAAAAGATGCGGATTACACTTTTTGGAACACCTTGATTTATAGCGTGTTGATGGTCAAACACAAATACGATCACGAAAGGTAAAAACACTGTACGTACGTAGCATATGAAACATCAATGAATGTATTGAGAACTCATTAGAGATTGTCTCTAATAAGCAACCACATAAACATTCAGCTATTACTTCAAGCAGAGATTTAAGAGAGCAATAACAAACATAGAGGAATAAAAGGGCTAAAATCGTTATATAGAGCTGCAAATCTCATTAAACATCTAAACATTCTACATTCACTTTTTTTTCCATTACCCGTAGAATCAGTGGGAGATAGTGGTAGTTTACTAAACACGAAACGTTAAAAATAAAAATAAAAAAGACCCAATTTAACCAGACTTGTAACATTTTAAGAGAAGAAAAGATAAAACATCCGTGAGATCCTTGCAGTCTTCTATATCATGCTACCAACTTCTTAGTCATCTTCCTCCTGCATTATTATAAAACCCAAAAGGTTAAGATAGATACAAAGCTATTTACAAGTAATGAAGTCAATTAACATTGAAGAAATAAGAAGCACAAACCTCATCACTTCCGTCGTCATCCTCATCGTTAACTTCAGACCCAGACTCTTCATCCTCCTTGGGACCTTCCTCCTGAAAAATAAGAACACATCATTGTTGGTCAACAAACTATCATTCTTGAATAACCAAGAACAAGCTCTGCTAATTGAAGGATGAGTTATGTGAATTTACCAGCTTCTTGTTGTAGGCTTTCATGCTCTTCTCATACTCAACCTTACGCTTCTCAGCCTTCTCAGCGTAGGGAGCCTTCTCCTACATCATCGCAAAACCCAAAAGGTGAAGGTATACTTAAGCATGTAACACTGAAGATCAAATGAAACAATCAATAATTAAACTACAGATTAGAGAACGCACTGTATCTGTCAAGGATTTCCACTTTTCTCCACCAGCTTTGCCAACCTGTTTATCCATGGAAGTTAATCATCAGTATAGCTTCAAAGAAAGACTCAGTTTATGGAACTACAAATCAAATAGATAGCAAGAAATAACACTCACAGCAGCAACGGATTTGTTATTGGGGTGTTCCTTCTTGTAAGTCTGACGGAAGTCCTCCCTTCAAATCATAAATCCAGTAAGAGTATTAGCACATAATTTAGGTAAAATCGATTCATGATTACTCATCGGAAAATACAGCTCAACGCAAGTATTAGCAAGGAAACACATCCAAATCAAATTTAGGAACTAACATAAACATGATACAGTATTCTAAGGTTACTACTAGCCTCAGCTTCAAAAGTTTCGAAGAAGATTCAAACCACAACAGATGAATTGAGGAATCGGTAAGCGATGATTACATGAAAACGAAGAAGGCACTGGCAGGCCTCTTTGGTTTGTTAGGATCCTTAGCAGCAGCAGCGGCTTTGCCTCCCTTGGCAGGCTTGTTCACAGAGAGCCTATCATCACCGGAAAATTAAGTAAGGAAATGATTCAAAACAAAAACGAAAACGATTTGACGCGATCTGAAATCCTGAGATCTAGGAGCTAGATAGAAGTCAAACAAATCCGGAATAAACGATCTAATTAGTCGAGACTTACTTGGAGCTCCTCGTTTCAGTCTTTGATTTTCCTCCTTTCATGACTGATTCTGCAGTAAAATCACTAGATCAGCGAACACGATAGAGACTCGGAAACGCAATCAAACAGAGAAATCGCTAGCAGAGAATAGGGGGAAACAAAAACTAATCGGAGAGGATATTCGGTTCTAGGAGCGAAAAAAAAAAAGAAGGAAGAGAAAAACTATCGAGACCAGCAGAGATCGAAATGAACAGAATCGAGAGAAATATGAGGCAGAAACTGGAAAATCGGAAGGAAAAACGAAGGAAATCGGAGGAAATTACCTTGACGACGATCGTAGAGCTTGAGAATAGAGAGAGATAGAGAGGAGACGAGTGAGTAAAAGGAATACACCGAGTTTGTGATTTGTACGCCTTGTGAACGATTCGGGTGAGGGGCTATGAGAAGAGAGGGTTAGTGGGGGTTGTAAATATCTGCTGAAAAAGATATTGAAATTCAATTTCCCACGAAAATGTAAAAATCTGAGGGGTTTAGGCGGGATTTCAAATGTATTTTGCCATGTCACCGATCCGAGTGATTTCCCCTCATTGGCTCTCTCTCCTTCTCACGCTTTAATCCCCGATCCTTGCCTATGTGTTTTCTTGTGTGCTTGCTTGTATTTGGTAAAGAAATGCAAACTTAGAAACTAATTATAATAAAACTTTATAAACTAAAGGGATCAAATGGATTTGTTAGGTCAAATTCGAAAGCGAGGGTTAATGAGAGGATATTACTCGAATCTTCACTTTCCTAATATTAAATTTGAATAATATCTGTGATTACACACAGTAAATCCACATAAATTTTAATCTAATGTCATTTAATACAAACATTCTCATAAATTTTAATCTTATGTCATTTAATATCCTTCTAAGCAAAATGAAAACTAGCTCTTCTCTTAAGAAGAACAGTGATGATTTACACTTTCTGAGGAAGATATTCCGTAACTTAAAGTCGATTTGACAAAATCACTAAATCAGCATACAAAATAGATGGATTGATTATACTGAGCTATTTAGTGGTTAACTAAAATCAGCCATGAAAGCTCTTTAATATCCGTTCATGGACAAATAACATTTTGAGAAAGATGTTTCGCGTATTATTAAATAGTAAAACCTGTATGGAGGAAACCACATCACACCAAAGCAACATTTCGTGACAAATCTACTAAGAGATTTATATAAACTGAAGATAGGTAAAAAGCTAAATCGTTTTATATAAAGCAAAGAGTACATAGCTGCAAGTCTCTCTTTTCACCATCTAAACATTCTACAATTCACTCGCTCCATACTTTATCCGTAGCAACAGTGGGAGGTTGTGAAAATACCAAACCATAAAGAAGAAAGATAAAAAAAAAAGACCCATTAAATCAGCACCATTAACATATTAAGGATAAAAACCAGAGAGATCTTTGCAGCCATCTATACTAATGCTATCAAACTTCAACTTCTTAGTCATCGTCCTCCTCCTGTATAGAATTATACACAAAAGTAACAGAGTTAAAGACAAAGCTCTTTTATACGCAATCATGTAAAATAACATAAAAAAAGAATCAACCACAAACCTCTTCGCTACCATCCTCAGCATCATCCTCATCATTAACCTCTGACACTGACTTGTCAGATTCCTCATCTTCCTTTGGACCTTCCTCCTGAAAAATCACAACACCATCATGATTAGTCAACGACTAACCTAACAACCATTCTTTTTACTTAGACATTTCAATTGACACTTGATTTTTACCAGTTTCTTGTTGTAGGCTTTCATGTTCTTCTCGTAGTCAACCTTGCGCTTCTCAGCCTTAGTAACAAAAGGAGCTTTCTCCTAAATTTTTATTCAAACCCAAAAATTAGACTTGCTTACTTAAAGAGGCATGGCATTTGAGAACATTAAACTGTTAAGAGAACGTACAGCGTCTGACAAGGATTTCCACTTCTCACCAGCAGCTTTTCCAACCTGTTTTACCCCATTCAATGAGTACAACTTTGACGTTTGAAAAAGGATTAATGTAAAAGACGTTTTAAGATGAGAACAAGTCACTCACTGCAGCAACAGATTTGTTCTTGGGGTGTTCCTTCTTGAAAGTCTCACGGAAATCTTCCCTTCAGATCACAAAAGTCAACGCCAGTGTTAACACACATAGAACTTCTCAACCACATGAAAAACTAGGAATAATAATAACAAAAACAATAGTAGGTTTATTGAGCTATTATCAGGGACTCGACGATAACAAGCAAAGGATACTACTAATCTCACCTTGAAAAGATTGGAAGTAGCCAGATAAAAAACTTTTGTACGGCAAAAAAGTTTTATCCATGGAAACTAGTCAACACAGAAGAAAATTGAGGAATCGGTAGGCGATGATTACATGAAAACGAAGAAGGCACTGGCTGGCCTCTTTGGCTTGTTAGGATCCTTAGCAGCCGCTTTGCTACGGCCTGCTCCCTTAGTCGGCTTCTTCGTCACAGAGAGCCTATCACCGCAAACAAGTAAATAAACGCTTCAGATAAACGAAAACGATAAGAAAACGGATCTGAAATCCAGAGATCCGGCTGAAACTTACTTGGAGCTCCTGGTTTCAGCCTTTGATTTTCCTGCTTTCATTGTAGAATTCTGCGAGCATATCATAAAATCAGCGAATTAACAAGACAATTACTATAAAATTTCAAAAAACAACGAGAACTAACAAAAGCTAGAGAGTATTCGATTCTATACACAAGAGCGACACAGAAAATGATCATCTAAAGAGATCGATACACATGATCAAGAGGAAATCGAAATGATACAGTAATCAGGAAAATGAAATGATGAGAGGAAATTCGGTTCAAAACACAAAAAGCAATATCTATATGAAACAATTACCACCTAAAACGGATCGGAACACACAATCGAGAGGGAATTCGAGATAGAAACTGGAAAACGAAGAAGATCGGAGGAAATTTACCTTGACGAAGAGCGTAGGGATTGGAGAGAGAAGGAGAGAGGAGACGAGAGCAAAAGGAATTATACGTGTTTGTGATTTGTACGCCTTGTGGGAGAGATTCAAGTGAGAGGCCAAGAGATGAGAAGGGGGTCTCTAGTGGAGGGTTGTAAAAAATATCTTTGGTCAATAAAGGGAGATTGAGGAAAATTGAATTTTGGCACGAAATGTAAAATCTGAGGGGTTTACGCGGGATTTCAAAGATATAATGCCACGTCATCGATCCGAGTGAATTCCCATCATTGGCTATCACATCCTCAAGGTTTAATCCTTGGCCTCGGTTATGTGTTTTCTCATGTGCTTCTTCTCTGCGTGAGTATTCAGCGGCAAGTGATATGACTTATTGCCCTTCCTTTCCTTATCCCAGTCCTATTAATTAATTAAAAATTAGAGCAATAATTACGATATATTTATTCGCATTAATATCTCTCCTCGATGATTCGGTTCGGTTTCCTGCGTCGGTCATCCGGTTTATTTAATACCATCTCGGCTCTATTCGGTTCGGTTCGGGTCGCCTTTTGATTTTGATTTTCTTAGGGCTTCTGATTAAAGCGTATAAATTAGCTCCTTGTTCGCCGCCATAATTAAATTCGGAGTTTGATCCTTCCTTCAATCAGTACATGAATCTTCTTTTATGTATCCGAATGAGTTTTGGAAATACTAGTTTGTTTTCTACATTAGGTTATAGTTTCCATTGGTTCAATTAGAAATAGTGTATTGAATTGATGAATGGTGCAGTGTATTGCCGATTTTATCTAGATTTAGAAATATGGGTGGAGAGAGGGAGCAAATGATGGGATACACTTGATCTCTGAATTTTACAGGTAAGTTCTTGTTGAAAACTATTGGTCTGCTGATGCTCTCTCTCTCTCTCTCACTCTGCCCCGGATTGAGATTTTTTTATTCCTGAGATTGATTTGCGACGTTGCGGTGACGAAGTGATGATATATATAAGAAATTGATTTGTTAGTATTTTTACCTGAGCTTAGAACATCTCATATACTAAGCATTGAGTAAAGATTAGATGAATGATTCTACTACACTGAAATGCAGCAGAATAGGATAGTTATAGAATGCGGTAAACATGTTTGATGAAATGCATGAAAGAAACTTGTACTTAACCCACCATTAATTGTTGTAATTGTTATGATAATGTGAAAGTCTGCGTGGAAGCGATGGGGATTTTGTTGCCTTTGTGAAGTCTCTTTGACTGGTTTAAGGAATCAGGGAGAGATATGAGCAAGTGTTGTGGACTTGTATTGGCAGCAGGATGATTCAATGTGTCTTCTTGATCATTGAGTTTGGATTATCGAGCAATATATGTTCTGCTCAATTCGAACCTTAATTTATTTGTTTTGTGTTAATTTGTACTTTCGCACCAAAGTCATATTTCTTCATTTCACTGAAATTCCCCCAAAAAAAAAATCAATCTACTGATGCAAATTGAAATGTTAATTATCATGAGATGTTGCATCTCTGCTTTGATTCAGAAGGTTTTTCTCTGAAAACTATATACTGTAGTTTCACGAAAAAACAAGTAAATTTAAGAAAATATTTCTTGGAGGTAGTTTATATGTATGAAGAAGATTCCCAAAATCAAACATATTCAATCTGCTTTTGCAGAAGCAAGCAAATTATGCCAAACATTGATCTACGCACACATCACTTTATCGTACCTTTCATAGTGATTTGGGGTTTGGACTCATTTTTCTTCAAGAACATAGAAATTAAGCAAAAACAATGACATATGGCGTTATCAAACTGTTAATACATATGGCGTTGGAAACGAGTGTCTCACGGTCTGTGATCATCAAACTGTTAATACGAATGGTAATAACTAATGCATGCTTTTTGTTTTAAGAATGGCTATTTTTCTATAGCGTCAATCGAACATAAATTATTTAGATGGTAGCTCAATACTGTTTTTGTTATTTGTAGTGTAGATAATGAAATGGTGTGCAAGCTTACAGATCCAGTTGAAATTAAGTTAGGTATGTATAATCGAAATTAAGATAGGTACAATTGGGTGTTACATACAGTATTAATTTCATGGTACTCATCATTAGTCAGAGAAAACCACCTCTATTTCATCATATTCCACATCGGCCTACATAATAGTCATTTTTAGACTTTTTATTTCTTTTTAGTAAGTATGGTTTCAATTAGTTTTCAAAATAAGCAAAATGAAATAATTTACATCTGCAAACTGTATATAAATCTTCAAGAGTCATTTTTTAAGAAGAAGACAAACTTTTGGCGAGTCATGAAAGTGGAGATGTTGTCGCAAAACCATTTAGACATCATATGTGACTTACTTGACGAAGAAGATAATAAACAATTGTTAACCACCCTCATGAATCATGCATCTAGTTATTATTAAACCTTTTGTTGTTTCGTATCCCTATCATACTCTACAATTATTCTCCATTGAGTATTGATAGTCATGTGCATGTGGAACACAGGAACACTTCAGAAAAGATTTGTACTTTCATCAAAAATATTCCTTTTCCTTAGATTGTGCTTATATTTTACTTATATTATGCTTACTTTTGCCAAATATTATTTTTCGTCTTTTCTCACTTTAAGTTTTATAACAAGTACACTGAAACTACATCTCATTTGTGACATTGTACATATATTTTAAGCAAACGCGACACAAATCATCAAAGGATTAAAGAACAAGCAAATATATATATATATATATATACCTGGAGATTTTAGGGCAGATTTAGAGCAGAGATCCTGAGGAATTTTTTTTTGTGCAATTTGAAAGAAAACTGGTTGCAAGATTCAGAGGATGTTGAAGTGCATTTATATAATCGGAAGAAGTTGATGTATTCGTGCTTTTGAAAAAAAAAAACAAAAAAAAAAAAACTATCACACTCCCACATTGTTACACAATCGCATGCAAGTTGACGACACAAAATTACTGCTTTTTTGTTCACACAATTAAATAATATTCGATTTACAACACCTTGATTCATGATTTTTTCTAATTGTTTTTTGAATGTTAGTGTCAATGTATTTTAGCTATTCTATAGTTTGTTGTTAACTATTACTTTGTCAACTCATACGCTACACATTTTATTTGATTTTTTTACACTTTGAGATCATTTGGAAAGTACTTTAAAATTCATGACTAGTGTCTAATGTCTAACGAGTTTGATTAATCATAGTTTATATGCCTTTGCTTATTTTAGTTATAACTATATATTGTCTAGTGCTCATGTTATTTCTTAGTTTCAATGTTGTTATAGAGAATATAGGCACTAATTTCACACGCAAAAGCATATTTCACGCGGTATAAGAGCTAAATTAGTAAGACTTAAATAGAGAGAGAATGGTGAGAAAGAAATAAAAGAGCATAATTCAGACGCTAACTTATGAAATCTTAAAAGGCAAAATGTTGAAAATTCGCGTAGCTATGTCATCCTCAATTAGTAAGAATGAAATAGAGAGGCCAAAAAGGCCATTTGACAGTGACAAAGTAATTTTGACAAATCCGCGTAGCAATGTCATCGTCATCTTTCTCAAAGAGAAATCTTAAGGACTAACTTATGAAATATTTCGAAATGCTAATACTTCGAAGTGGATGTCCATTTATGAAAAAAAAACTAGTGAGTGTATGAGAGGAAGAAAAACTTATTTTTGTGGCATTTTGAAGAGTTGCACACATGTTTAAAAACTAATCTTGTAAGTTTAACAATTATTTTCCCCACAAGTTTAAAGACTAATCTTGTAAATTTAAAGGACTCTTGTTAAATTTAACATATTATTTTAAAAAGAACAAGGAAGAATTTTGATAATTATCTAATCTTGTAAATTTAACATATTACTTTCTCCACAAGTAGTCTTTGTGAGCCCAAAAGCAGTTTAGTAATCTTCACAAAATAAGTGATGAAGTAAGCTTCAATGACGCAAATGATCCAGCTAACCGCAAAGCTTCCTTCACTTGAGAAGCATCCGTTCCCTGAAACCAAAACAGGTCCAAGAAACGTGTGTCACAAGCCTTGTTAAGTCCTTCAGATTTTTCCAAATTTTGAGATGAGACTAGAGACACCAAATCAAGATCTCACTAGAAAGAGCATGAACATGATCATTACCGGTCCTGATGCGAGACCACCTTTCGCTTTCCCGCATTTCCCTTTGAGAGGACCCGAGAGAACCGTACACCATTCTGTCACATCTAGTTCCTTGAACCGAACCGGAACTCCTGCACAGAAAACCGCCTTGTTCGTGGTTTCATCTGTGCTCAACATCATTACCGGCATTTCCTGCAACAACAAGACACGCAAAAATCAAAACCCTTACTTCCACAACAAGTTTCTTTCACTTTCTATGGAGAAAACATGGATATACCTTCTTTTCCATGATTTGTGAAACGGCTTCTCTCAAGGCTGCTGAATCAAGTCCCACGTCAAGCTGGACAATGCAAAAGGTCTTCTCGTATTTTGCTGCTGATTCGGCTGCCTCCGTTGCTGCTTCGACAGCTTTCCGTAGGTTTTGCTCTGTTTTTTCCTTTTGAGCTTTCCTGATTCTACTCTCAAGCAGAGCAATTTTGGCCATGATATTTGCCTTTTCCCCTGCGGGGATCACTTCGGTAACAGCCCGTCTTTTCAAAGACGTAACTTTCTCTTCCAATCCAGCTCCCTCCACTTCGGATGCTTCCTCTACTTCTTTCTCAAGCAATGACGCCAGATTGATCGCAGCTAAAGCAGGTTCACCAGTTAAAGCGGTTATCCTACGAATACCTCTGGCCACTCCTTCCTCTGATACTATCGCAAACGCTTTGGCGTCGCGAGTGTTTCTTATGTGTGTTCCTGGAAATCGTTGGTCAAAGTTAGTCTTACTTTGAAGAAGAAACAATCTCTTTGGTCCAAGATAGTGTCAATAAGCTATTGAAAACTGACCTCCACAAAACTCAGTGGAAAGTGATGACCATTCATCACTTTCAGGATCAGCCAAGAGGTCCTCTACTTGTCTCCCAATTGCCACCACTCTGACAGGATCATAGGAGGCCTAAAAAATGGAAGAAAGAGAAAGAAAAAAAAAATTGCTTTAAAAATGCTTCAAAAATGCTAAACTGAAAAAATGACTAAGCAGTAGAACTTTTGGTTTCAGCTTTACTTCTCCTAATGCTTCTCTTAGACCGTTGATGCGTTTGGCTTCAGAAAGAGCTGCTTTCGTGGAAAACACATCAAGTTCGTCGTCGATCATTTTATTCACTATAGAATCGATCTTTCTCAAATCCTCAGGATCAACCGGCCTGCCGTGTGAAAAATCAAATCGCAGCTTTTCAGGAAGAACTTTTGATCCCTTCTGTTTGATATGATCCCCAAGCACTTTCTGGATTCATCATGACAAAGACATGCTCTTAGTTAGAACCTTTTGAAAATGTTTGGTAAGAGAAATCATAGCAAAAGTCAAAAAAGAAAATATTATAATACCTTCAGGGCAAAAGTCAACATATGAGTACAAGTATGATTGTTTGCAATGAGTTTACGTCTCTCGTAGTCAACCTAAAAAGAACAAAAAAAAGAAAAACGATTTAATTAGTAACAACTAACAAGTAAAATCTAAATGAGACAAAACTACCATTATACCATATATACAAGGCAAATATGTTTACCTTGCAGGTCACTTTATCTCCAACCGACACTATTCCAGTTTTACTAGAGAAGTTGCCACTATGAAGAACAAAGCCCTTCACTGTCTGCACATTGCAAACTCTGAATGTACCAAACGAGCCTTCTATGAGTCCTGTGTCGAAAATCTGACCACCTTGCTCTGGGTAGAAACTTGTTGATGCTAACACCAGACCCACTTTGTCGTCACTGGCAAAACTTTCCACTAAAGCAGAGCCGTTGTAGATCGCTTTTACTTCAGTCTCGTGATCCTGCACCAAAATCCGGCCGGCAGGATAGTTGTTCATTAGAAGGAATATTTTAGCTTACTTCTTTCAAGTTAGAGGAAACCATTTTAACTACCTGGAACCAAGTGTATTTGAAAGAATCATCTGTTGCTGAAACGCCAGTTTTGAGCTGTGTTGATGTAGTGTCAACATCCATAGCAATGGAAACGCCGGTTTGCTGCCAACAAAATATTTTACATTAGCTGATCAGTAAATAGATACGGTGGCGTAAAAGAAGGGTAAATAGATGAAGAAACGTTTAAACAACATTTTTGTGGGCATTCTTAGATTCGTCTCTCGCCTCTTTCTCGGCTTTCTTGAAACCGTCTACGTCAACCACCAATCCTATCTCTTCAGCCATCAACTGAAAAACAAGAGAATCAAATTTAACAAAGAAGAACACAATATAAATTTTTAGAAAGAAGTAGGAATGAAGTAAATACCTGAGTCAAGTCTAGTGGGAAACCATATGTAGCACTCAACTTAAAAGCCATCTGCAACAACAAAAATAGATGGCAATGAGTGTTCCAAATACTGAGATGGGCATTCAAAATGTAATAAAAATTGAAACAAAACAGTGTTAAGATGCATGCCTCTCCATTCAGTGTATTCCCCTGAATGGCCTGAGCATACTTCCGAAACTGCTCAATTCCCTGCAATGCAAATTTGAATATAATCAATGAAACTGAATGATGATGAAACCATTAAAATGTAAGTATTTCTTGAAATTGGAGCTAGGAATTGTTTGTAAGACATTTTTATTAAAAAGAGGTTAAATTCAGCTCCCACCTTTTCCAAGGTTTTGCAAAAGCTTGCTTCCTCTTCTTTAATAATCTTTGTGATGTTCTTTTCATGCTCCTTCAACTCAGGAAAGGCATCTCCCATAACACGAATAACAGAACTTACAAGTCTACATTAATCAAAGACTGATTAGTGACAGACACAATCACACAGAGACAAGGAACATATTGTTTGCATTTACAAAAATTCAAGACCAAAATAAAAACTTTCCAGCCTTATAGACAGTATTATTAAAACAGAACATGAACCAACAATAAAATGTCAGTGTACTTTCTTACCCGTTGAAAAACCCTTCCTCAGCTTTTAAAATCTCTTTTCCATAGCGAACTGCTCGACGAAGAATACTTTTCAGAACATGCTGACGACCCTCGTTACCTGCAAGAAGGTGTTACATTAGGTACAAATCTGCTAAAGAAAAAGATTCGAAATAAGAGACAAGAGAATATGGCAATACCAGGACGAGAACCATCGGCGATAGCAATTGATAAAGTTCTAATATGATCAGCTACTACTCTATATGCTGTGTCAACTCTGTCAACATCTTCTTGACCAACTTTTCCCGAGTATGGCCTAGCTCCAGTCGCCTAAAAACATTTACAAGATTTCAACACCTCCAAGCTCAATACATGAAATTTGACACTGCTAATAAGGAAATCATCTCCAAGAAAACCATAATAAATGGAATAACAGAGTGTCATGAAGACAGTCACTAGAAGGTTTCAGAAAGTACCTTTTGGATGTCATCAAAAATAGGCAAGAAGACATCTGTATCATAGTTGCTCATTTTATTCTGTAGAACAGAAGTCAATCTCTCGAAACCCATTCCGGTATCAACATGCTTAGAAGGCAGAGGCTTTAGAGGTCCATCTTTGGTTTCTCTGTTGAACTATTTTAAAAAACACAGATAAATAAATCAAGCTCTAAAGAAGCAAGAAAAGTCTATTTACCTAGATAACATAAAAGCTGCAGTTACATGATCTATAAACAAAGTCACTATAAGAGACATAGAGAGAGTTTGCACCTGAATAAAGACAAGATTCCATATTTCTAAACAAGTAGGATCGTCCTTGTTAACAACATACTTTGCAACCAAAGGGAAGCACACGTCCAGATGGAAGAAACTTAAGCCATATATCTCTAGCCTCATTATCAGGTTGAATGCCAGATTTCACATCACCCTCAAAATAAGTTGCGTAAATTCGATCACTCGGTAGCCCATAGACCTGAAAAAACCAAGGAGGTCACTTCATCACTTCAGAGAACTTTGACATGATGAGACTATTTTTCACAGTAAAATTTTTACCTCGGTTAAAAGCTCCCAAGCCCATTCAATGGCTTCTTTCTTGAAATAATCCCCAAAAGACCAGTTTCCAAGCATTTCAAAGAAGGTGTGATGGTAAGTATCTTTCCCAACATCGTCGAGATCATTATGTTTCCCACCAGCACGTATACACTTTTTGTGTGTTGCATGCACGCTTTAGCTTGCTCAGCTCCGAATTTGGATTTACAGTCCCCAGAAATATTGGCTTAAACTGGTTCATTCCTTCAAAACAAAACAAAACAGCATGACTTGACTCCACAACTAGCTCAAAATCAAATACAATATGGTTTCCACAGATCAAACCAAACCCAATTCCTTTTTTTTTTTTTATATATATATATATATATTAATAAATAATCAAACCCAAATGGGTTTTTCTTGTTCGAGCCGAGCTTCCGCAGCATCTCCTCCACCAGTTAACCACACCACATCGCCGCCGGAGATAGAAGTGAGAAAAAAATCAAAATTTTGGAAAAAAAAAAGCTTCGTACCAGCATTAGCGAAGAAAAGTGTAGGATCATTGTCAGGAACAACAGAGCTTGACGGCCAACTCTTGTGAGATTTCCGGTTGAAGAAATCGATAAACGTTTCTCTGACTCTCTTTGCTGGCCACTCGATCATCTTCGATTCTCCAGGCATGACTACGACGAACGCAAAGCTGGAAAGCAAGATACTCGCGCGACTTGACTTCGTTCGTCTTCTCTTCCTTCTTTAAAGCTCTGTTTTCTTCCTTTACACGACGAAGAAGCTCAAAAGGGAAAAGGAAAAACCTTGACAGAACGGCGTCGTTTGACTCTTATTACAGTCAACGATTTGATTATGTTCCATTATGGCCCAAAATCATATCCAGTAGGCCTCAGGGCAAGCGGGAAATTTATCAGGTCTACGTTACAATCTAGGCACGTGCGATTTCACACATGTAATGTTTTTTAATTTTATTTTTGATTTAAAAAAAAAAACGTAAGAAAACACAAAACTAAACGCCCGTCTAGGAGGAGAAAGAAAGAGAGAGAGAGAGAGAGAGAAAGAAAAGAGGAGAGAGAGAGAGAGAGATAGAGAGAAAAATGGGTGAGGTAGCAGATACAATGACGAAGAAGAAGAAGAAAGGGAGGCCATCTCTTCTAGACCTCCAGAAGCGAGCTATCAAGCAGCAGCAATTACAGCAGCAGCACAAAAGCCATGATGAACCCGTCGAGGACCATAGATCCGGTTCCAAAAACCCTAATTCTCTCAATCAACCTCCCAACTCCGGCAGCCGATCCAAGCGCCGGAACCCTAATCCCAACGGCGTCTCCTCCGATTCCCCCTGGATCAAGGACGACGAGGATGGGGAAGAGGAGGACGACGACGAGCGGCGTGAGAAGAAGCACAGGCTCCTTCACGGATTAAACGCCCACTCACATCGACATTCTCCCAATTCCCAATCGGGCGGTTCCGATCTGAACCTCGACGACACTCCCGAGGCGTCCGCCAATAGGCGGAAGATCGGCGGCGGCGTCCCCGGATCTGACTATACGGTTAGAAATTGAATTCCTTTTGGATCGAATTTCAGTTTCCCAATTCGATTTAATTCAGAGGAAGAAATGGAAAAAAAAAATTGAGCTTTTATCTGAGAAATTAGGTTTAAATACAGTTGGGATTTCGCGCGTTGGTTTATGTGTTCGTCTTCTGCTTGAATATTAAGATGAAGTGAGTGGATGAGTTTTGACTGAGTCATTTTTCCCCCCCTTAATTTTTATTGGTGGGAATTCCAAATTCATAATTCAGCTTTTCTGTAAATTAATTTTCCCTTTTTTGTCTTCGGCAAGGAAAATTCTTGGGTGTTTATTCTCGCTTTAATACGAAGAATTTTATGTTAATATTATATTTTTTATTCTCTGGTTGAGTGGTTTCTGGTAATTTAGTTACTTGAATTAAAGATGCCTCTGCACTGAAACCATCATGTCTGATACAAGTTCCAATTTGTCTTTTCCTTAATATCCGCTTTCTCATGTTACTGTGTTTATCCTTCGGTTCTTGCTTTAAAGATGAAGATGAACATAAACAGTTAAACAACATTAACTTGTTATTCTAAGATTTACGAAAGCTCACCTTTTTTAATGGATTCTTGGAGTTGATGATGATGATGATAATCTGTTGGTAAATCTTGCAGGGAGAAAAGGCTTCGAAAGCGACAGACATTCTTCAAGGTACATATACTTTAATTTATATCCTTTATTTAATTTTTGAAAAGGCAATAAACTGAAATCTGTACGAGGATAAAAGCGAGATTTTTCTGGTTGATTAAATTAAAAATTTGTCATTTACATGTGGACAGGGTCTCCCGTGGAGTCTGGCCCCACTACACCTTTGCCAGACAAAAAGTTGTTGGTGTTCATCCTCGATAGACTTCAAAAGTATGTTCATTTCCTGCCTCTCTGACATTTGTTCTCATTTTTTGTATTTTGGTTTCAAGTGATTCCTCTCAACTGGGTACTGGTTTTTATTTGATCGATTTTGTTTTGCAACGCTTGTAGGAAGGATACTTATGGTGTTTACTCAGATCCGGTTGATGCTGAGGAGGTGACTGGTCTCTTCTGTTGATGTTTGTAAGCTCTTTAATGTTACCACAGCTCTGTTTGCCTTATCGGTCTTCATTATGTGTCACAGCTTCCTGATTATTTTGATATAATCACGAACCCGATGGATTTTAGCACAGTGCGGAAGAAATTAGACTCTGGCGCGTATGCCACTTTAGAACAGTTTGAGGTAAGTCTTGTTCTCCTCTCCTCAATGTTTCTCCCTGAACTTTCAGTGATTGTGTTGATGCGTTCAAGCTGGTTCCACATTTGCTTCGTCCTACAGAAAAATAACTTTATTGCTGCTTCTAAGGGTTTATGGAAAATCATTGCTTGATGTTTGTTTGCGTGCTTAGACTTTCAATTATGAGATTTTAAGGCTTTACTAGTTTTACTGCTAACCAGTGAAGATATATGTAGCGTTGGTTGCAGATTTGTTTCAAAAGTTGTGTTACACTCGAATATGTTTCCCAATTTGAATATATGTGAATTTGTGAGGAGTTTGGTGTTGGAAGTTGGAACAGCTCTTTTTTTAACCTTACTGATAAGTCTCGCTTCTCGTCGTGTTCCTTTTGCAGGGAGATGTGTTTTTAATATGTTCAAATGCAATGGAATACAATTCCGCAGACACTGTATATTATCGACAGGTACGTCCTTAGATTTGATTGACCTATTCTTCTTTTGATATTTCGTTCCATGTTTGTGAAACTAGTGTGTAATTTGGCTTTTCAGGCACGAGCTATACAAGAATTGGCAAAAAAGGACTTCGAGAATCTAAGGCAAGACAGTGATGATGAAGAACCACAAAGCCAACAGCAACAGCAGCAGCAACAACAACAGCAGCAGCAACCAAAAGTTGCCAAAAGAGGCCGTCCACCAAAGAAACAGCCTGAACCATCTTCGATTGACCGTACTGCTTCCGAAATTTCAGCTGATGCGCTCATTCCTGGAGGAGATAGCGCTAGTAAGTTTTCCGGTGCTTACAATCTAAGAAAGGCTCCTCCTTCGAACAAATTCCGTCAAGCGGAAACATCGGTCAGGATCAATCATAACAGTGATACACAAAGTGGCTGGTCGATAGATTGGGAGAACGAGTTTCCACGTAAAACAATCTCTCTACCTTTGCTTTTACCTCATTTCAGACATTTCTTTTGCCAATATGAACCAAACATCTTCTTGGTTTCTCTGTAGCTTCGGTTGTGAAGGCGGTCAACAAGTATGGCATGAAACATTTTAACGTCGATGATAACAGACGCGATACCTACAACCACCTCTCCGCTTCTACTCAGGAGCCGTCGGTTTTGTCAACGCTCGAAGAAGAGTCAAAACAACTAATCCCTGTACGTTATTGCCAGCTCTATTATCTCCTTTTGAATAGAGAAACAAGAGTCTGATCATTTGTTTTCCTTATTCATCATCAGGTTGGGCTTAACACTGAGTATGGTTACGCGAGGAGTCTAGCAAGATTCGCTGCGAACATCGGTCCTGTTGCTTGGAAAGTTGCATCGAGGAGAATCGAAACAGTGTTGCCCCCTGGTATCAAATTTGGTCAAGGTTGGGTTGGAGATAACCCAGCAGGACCTGAAGAGGATGATCCTCAGAAAAACAGCTTGGGGAAACAGAAGTGTTCTAATGACTTAGCGTCTGATGATCATTCAAACAGAATCCTGTCTCCAACGGCTTCGGTCTCTAGCGCTTTCATAGGGAACAGACATTCTTCTTCTCAAGGCATTGAAGAGACCACACCATTACCCGCTCGTGTCTTGAATCCAGAAGCCGAGCACCCATCATCCTCCTCCTCTCGCCAGTCAGTACCGCCGATCAAGCTGGAGAGCAGCAATGGTCTAAACCGCGGTTTCAGTGGTTTCAGTCATAGTCCAAGTCCGTTGCTCGGAATGGCGAGACAGCAACAACCAAGTATTACAAGCGAGGCCATACCGGGCTCGCAGCAACAACAAGGGTTGTTGTTTCCTTATAACAAACAGGAATTCCACCGGTTTCCACCGGACCTTAACGCTAGGCTTGTGTCACCAAACTCTCCCGGCTCTAATCAGCAGACTGGTTCGTCCTCGTCGCAGCATCCGGATCTGGCATTACAGCTCTGAAGATGAATGTTTTCTTTGAAAGAGATAGAGAAGAAGAAGAAGAAGAAGAGGCATTTTCCAGTGGCTATCTCAGCCATATATTTTCTGGTGTGGAATCACTATGGAAAATCATGGCTTATTTGTTGTGACATGAAAATATATGAGACAAGTCTCTCTATTGTACAGATTGTTGCAACATCCATATTTTTTTAGGGGTAAAAAAAAAAAGAGAAAAAAACGAAGAGAAACCAAAAACCACAGGAGTCTCTCGCAAGCTGTAGAATGTAATTTATATTTATAAATTTTCCTATAGTTTTTCAAATATATTTTCGTTATGTTTCTAATATTTGCCATAATAAGATGAAACAAAATGTCTCACTGGCATCTGATTATTTGGAAGTGTTGTCAGTTTCTTTCTTGGAAGACTTTTGCCGGCTTCAATTCTCGAGTTACTTAGTGATGGGAACACTTATCTTTATAAGACTAAAATACGACAAATTATTAATTTTAAATACTGATGTTTTAACTAAACCGTATGAATTTGTTGATAAAGTAGAGTAAATTATTTGACAGTGAGTAATAATTAGTACTAAGTACTAACTATAATCAATCACCTGATTAAGTGAAGTTTAAACAACCTTTTTTAGTGTATCATGGACCATCAACATTTCAAATTTGTAATGTATATAACTCGTTAAATTCTAATGTTTATCAAGCTGTTCGTCTACCATCAATTGTGTTTGAAATTTGTGTAGAGGGGCTCACGCGTCACGGGATTTACATGACCATGTTTGTTTGGTGGGGCTCGACTTCTCGTGATATTTATTTTCCTCACAAACCATTGCTTTATATCTTCACCTATTTATTGCTCATAAAAATGTTATCGCATAAAGGTTAACTCGATAAATTTTTGTAAAAGTGAGAAGTGGTAGTTTTGATTTGAAAACCTAAGAGCATGTCATCGGTGAACAAACATCAATCAGTCTCTTATAAATAAAAATAAATAAAAAATGTGAAAAAGAAAAAGAGAGAGTATCAAATATGCCGAGACATATCTGCTGTAACATACGTATCACAAACTCAACGTACACGTGTTGTTATATGTTTGGATGACACATTTTTATATTTAAAATTTAATTATAAATTTAAATTAAATTAATAAAATAATTTTCTGATACTCATTCCTTCGTTTATGGACATGCTCTAAGGCTTGAGAGATGAACTCGCTAAAGCTCCAGATTCATCACTATTGGGTTAGTCGAACTAAACTATATCATTGATGTAGATAATAAAAAATGTCAAATAAGATTACAAATCGAAAAGTCTGTGTGTTAACTCATGTTCACAGCTTGTCAATTTTAGAGTGTTCACAAATTGCAGCAATCAATTATCCAGCAATATTCGTACGTCACATATTCTTCACAGATTAACAGCCTTTATCGTGTTTAGATAGCATTCGAGTATATGTACACGTTTATGCGGTATACGTACCTCAAAGTTTTTGGTGAATATTGGCGTAACAGATCCAAACAAAGTAAATACTATTTTCGAGTGAATCTATCATCCATGTGATCATGCCAATGTATGGATAACTTGCCATTGGAAGTCAATTATGTACTTTTGTGTCTTCCTGCATCAGTTTCGAGTAAATTGTTGTTTTCTTCTTGAACTAAAAAAAATTGTTGTTTTCTTATCTTTATGAAACTGGCTACAAATTTATTTTTAAGGAACAGATGGAGTATTTTCTCAAAAATAAATAATAAATAATAAAATCATTTTCATTAGGAAAATTTGGTAAATTCATTTCAAGATTTGGTATCTTGCTATTAGTCAAAGACTCCAATAAATTTTGTATTTGTTTTTTTTGTTTGTCAACAAATTGTCTTATTGGTTAAAAGCCATCTTTTTGTTTTCACGAAGCCTAGAAATATAATTGTGGTGGATCTCACATCAAAACCACCAATAAATTTTATTTTAATCAATACTATATAACGCGGCTTTGAATGGTTAGCTTAAAAATACCAGTAGAAGTTTAAAGCATTATTATCTGTAATATCGCAATAAATTTATTAACACCAAAAAAATATTGAAGAAAATAACTCTTGTTTTTAAAAAAAGAGAGAGAAAAAAGTAGTCTCACAAGTAAAATGAGTAACGCACATTAGATTGTTTTTTCTTTATCTCATTATGTCCTCAATTTTAATGCCATTAACATGACGTTAAATGTTATACGTGTGAATAGTAACGAAAACCAACATTAATGTCATAAATATGGAGAAATAATAGGAGAAGAAAGAAAGGGAAAAAAACAGCTTGCAGATAAAAAAAGCAGGCATATGATAGAGAAAAAGATTGGTGAAATTGCCAAACATACCAACTAATAATAATTGATTATAAAAAGTAGCCATCAATAATAATCCGATAGAAACGGTATCTTACTAAAACGGTAAATAAAGTCAATGGCAGGGATGAGAGGACAGTGTGTGACCACTTAACATAAGCAAACCAAATCGGGACCCATCATCGAGGGATTGTAATAAAACGTAAGGTCAATCTTTTCAAATCTGGACCGTCCATTTGTCGAGATCCGAAACCCTCGAATCCACTGTCGGCCTCGTGGGTTTTCTCAACACACTTGTACTGTCTTTCATTTAAGTAACGGAGCTATTCGAGCTCGAGGGTACTTTACGGGAATCTCATAATGGTATAATAGTCATTTCGTTCACGAAAATGGGGGACCTGAAACGTTTAAATGCGAGAGAAGAAGAGAGGTCAGGGAATTGAGGATAATGATGATGAATTGATGACGAAGTGACTAATATTTTTGGGGGAAAATAATTTTAAAATTTTGAAAATAAAAAAGATTAAAAGATTAAAAAGGAGGAAAGTTTATAAATGAAAAAAAAAACGGGTCCTACGTGGGAAAAGAACAAAACGAAACTCGTCGTCTTCTACCACTTCAATTTTTAGTAGCTCCAACTAAAAATAAATAAACAAAAATACAGAAGGAAGAAGAAACTGGAAAGCTGTTGTAAAAAATTTCCATGATTTTCTCTCCCGCTTCTTTGATTGTTGTTTTCTCAGCTGATTTCTTCTTCTTCTGTTTTTTTACCTTTGTTTTTTCTTGTTTTAACTAGTAAAGATCCTTGTCATTTTCTGTCGCGATTAGATGGAATTTGTATAATTTTAGAACTCTTCAGTTTCTTTAATATTTTTTAAAAATTAAATTTTCTCTCTCTTGCTGCAATCTATCGCCGATTAGGATCTTCTTTGGTGGCGGGGGGTTTTCAATAATTCCCCTTTTTACTCTGCCGAGTTTTGTTCTTTTGTTTTCTGGAATTATCGAGAGACATAGATAGAATCAGTCTTTTTTAGCTTCTGTAGCCAAATCCTAGGTTTTTAATTTTCGTATTTTTTTTTCGTAATTCTCTTAGGTTCGTGTCTGGTGTTGTGGGATTTGAGGAGCTTGGTTTATAAAACCAGCTCCATTTCTTAAATCCCTTATTCACCGCCACTGTTGTTGTAATCGTGAAAAGAAAAAAAAGAGAGAGAAGAATGACTTGCTTCTCATGTTTGAATCCTCGAACAAAGGAGATAAGAGTCGACATTGATACCGCTCGCAACCCAACCACCGATTCCTCAGGTTCTTTTCATTTCCAATCGATAAACTTTCACTGTTTTTAACTCAAAAGTTTTCGTTTTTTTATTCTTTCTTAATAATGATTCTGTGGTTGCAGTTCTCGGAAGTGATGCAACAGGAACAGAGTCGATTTCTGGTATTTTAGGTGAGTGTTTGTTTGTTTCTTTGTCCCTTTGTATTCTCTCTTTGCTCACACATTTTGAGTTTAATGTCTCGTTTGAATTTGGAACAGTGAATGGAAAGCTGAACAGTCCGAAACCTGGTGGTGGAGCTCGGAGTTTCACGTTCAAGGAACTCGCCGGAGCAACAAGAAACTTCCGGGAAGTGAATTTGATCGGAGAAGGAGGTTTCGGGAGAGTCTACAAAGGACGTCTAGATTCAGGAGAAGTCAGATCTCTCTCCTTCTCTCTCTCTCTCTCTCACTCTCTTTCTTTCTCTCTGAAAATGTTTTTTGAGTTGAATTGAATGAAAAAAAACAGGTGGTGGCTATTAAGCAACTGAATCCAGATGGGCTTCAAGGGAACCGAGAGTTCATAGTAGAAGTTCTGATGCTAAGCTTATTGCATCACCCGAATCTCGTTACACTGACCGGTTACTGTACTTCCGGTGACCAGAGACTTCTTGTCTATGAATACATGCCAATGGGCAGCTTAGAAGATCACCTTTTTGGTTAGTTACACTTGAAACTCTGTCTTTGCCTTAATTATCTAAAAAATGTCAATTTTCAAACTATATAATCTTTTGTTTGGTTTGATTTTATCAGATCTTGAGTCAAATCAAGAACTATTAAGCTGGAACACAAGAATGAAAATCGCGGTTGGTGCGGCTCGGGGAATAGAGTATCTTCACTGCACAGCGAACCCGCCAGTGATTTACCGCGATTTGAAATCCGCAAACATATTGCTAGACAGAGAATTCAATCCAAAGCTCTCCGATTTCGGTTTGGCCAAACTCGGTCCGGTTGGAGATCGAACTCATGTATCGACCCGGGTCATGGGAACGTACGGTTACTGCGCTCCCGAATACGCAATGAGCGGTAAATTAACCGTTAAATCGGATATTTACTGCTTCGGTGTAGTGTTGCTTGAGCTGATCACCGGAAGAAAAGCTATTGATATGAGCCAAAAGCAAGGCGAGCAAAATCTTGTTGCTTGGGTAAGTCAATTGGATAGTAAACCGGATTAAACCGGCATTTTGAAATTTCATACTCTTGTTTTAAACCGAAACTTTTCTTGTCTCTCTGTTGCAGTCACGTCCATACCTCAAGGATCAGAAGAAGTTTGGACAGTTAGTGGATCCGACTCTGCGGGGAAAGTATCCAAGACGGTGTTTAAACTATGCGATTGCGATAATCGCAATGTGTCTGAACGAAGAAGCTCATTACCGACCGTTTATAGGTGACATAGTGGTGGCACTTGAGTACTTATCCGCACAGAGTCAGTCTTATGAAGCTCGTAACGTCTCTTTCACGTCACCGGAGGTTATAAGAACGCCGCGACGAGACTCGTAGAGACACAAAAGAGAAAAAGTCTTGAGCTATTAAGAATTTCAGTTTCGTGTTCTGTAAAAATGGTTTTCGAGAAAACAAGAATATAAGATTTGGTAAACGTTTTTTGTTTGTTTTAGTTTCTTGTACTATGTATATGTATATGATAATTATGGAAACAGTTGAAAAAACAGTTACTTCAATTTAAGGAAGAGAAGATCTTTACATGTTGTTCTCTCTGGTGCGTTTTTTAAAAACAAAACCCAAAGCACCACCTAATAATATTTTAAAAGAAAAAATTATGAACAATTACAACAGAACACAAAAGTGTAATCTTTGATATCATAGTCCTAAAAAAACCCTTCTTTCTTCCTCTGATTTTAGTGCCATAAAGTGTATTCTGTAGCTGAAGAACGTTCAGGGAAATGATGAGAAGAAACCTGAAGCAGAAGCTTAATGGTATGGTTGGGTGTGGTTCTGCAGACATCTACACACTCGTCCACATCTTCATCACAAGTCAACAAAACCCATTCATTGTCTTCGTCTAAGTACTTGAGATCATACCTGCTCATATCCTCTATGTTAAACCGCTTCCCTATCTCCCACAACACATCTGCTAACCTTCTCGAGTTCCTCATCCGGAACCTGATCTTTTCCTCTCCGTAGCCAACTTTAATCCTCAGGAAGTCATTATCATCTTGAGATGATGACAAGTGTTGTGTTCCTTGAGGGTTGTTTTCTAAACTAGAGAGAGTCAACACTGTCTCGTCAAGACTCGAACTTTGAAGCTCGATTTCGCTGCTCGTCTTCTTCAACGCACCTCCTACGTCAGCTTGAGCTGGACCGGTTGTTGCTCCGCTGTTTAGTTGTGTCTCGCTGGAGCAGCATTGGCTAGAGTTTGAGCTGTGGCTGTATGAGGAAACAGGGGACTTTGCAGCCTGCAATGGAGGCGGAGGAGGAGGAGGAGGTGAGGGCTTGGCTTGTTGTTGTTGTTGTGATGGTTCTTGCGACTGTGAAGATGCTAAATGAGGGAAATTCGCGTAGAAGGAGCCTATAGGAAGAGGACCTGAAACACCTTCAACAGAATCAATCACTCGTTGGATCTTCTGCAGAGAATGTCCAACTTTCTTGATCTTTCTTGAAGGCCATCTCTGTATACCATGTTGCCTGCATATTCTCTTCAAGGTCGTTGGACAAACTGAAAACATTCCAAGACAAGACAAGAGGCAAAACATTAAGACTTCTGATATAACTATCATCGAAACAATAAAACAATGCTGCATAGTGCTTACCACCGATGTTCTTGGCTGCATCTTTCAGACTTCCTGCGAAGTACTGTCGAAGAACATCCAAAGTAATGGTTTTGTCTGCTTTTGTACGCTTCTTCTCTGCCATCCTACCGAAACCGCCGCTAGTAAAAGTGCTGCTCTCGTTGATGTTACAATCCATGGAGTAGTCAAAGCCTCTCTTCAAGCCAAACACATCATTTGGCTTCTCTCCTCCATCAAACACCAATCCAAGACTCTGAGGATTACTACTATTATTATTACTCCATGAGGAATGTTGTAGCTCCGATGTGTTCTCTATCTTTGGCGTTACTATCATCTCTTCCTCCCTTTCTATCATCACTTCACTCTCTTCTTCTAGCTCCTTATCTGTAACAGTCCTTAAGCTTCTAGGCACATGAGCCATAATAGTCGAAAGCGCATTCAACATCTTCCTCTGTTCCTCTAGATCATCACAGTCTTTCGGCAAAAAGAACTCCAAGACGAAATCAGCAGAGCCCGTGTGGATGCAGCGCAGGCGAATCGCGACCGCGCCATGTAGACCAAACATGTTAGCGTGGTGAGAGAGAGGGTACTCTGATTTCTTGTAGTTGGAGACATCAGAGGAGAAGCAAGGTCCATTGGTCAAGAAGGCTTGTCCTGCAACTCCTTGGCCTTTCAAAAGATGATGCTCAGAGCAAGCTTCATGGAACTCCCGGACCGTTGGATCACCAACGTAGCAAGCATCGTCAACGGTCGACACGCAGTGGATGTAGTTCTCGTCGCTGTGACGACACCCGCTTTTGCTTTGCTGGATGCAAGAGACCCATGTCTGAGCTAAAGGTAGTTTATGCGTCTCGCAAGCACATCTCAAGAGGTTTCTGATTTCTGGTAATGCTGCTTTGTAGGAAAAGTCACATCCCTGAACAAATGAAAACATTCTTGTTCATATACCAAAACAAAAACTTCAAGAACTTGTTTAGTTTCTTGGATTTACCTTTAGAGAAGGTGGAATTGGAACTTCAGTGCTCCTAAGATCAACTGCCTGCAAAACAAGAAACAAGAAACACATTTCTTCCCTCTCAAGAACAGAATCTCAATACCAAAAGCTGAAAAGTAAAAAGAGAAGGAGACAAGAGCAAACCTGGAGTGCTCTGCAAATGCTTTCAAGCTCAGGTCTTAGCTTAACCATCTCAGTGGTCATCACAACCTCAATAACACCCAAGCAAATCTTACTCCCTTGCTCAAACACCGGAATCGCCAGCGTTCCACGTACGTCACAGTCCTGAGCGTGCTGGACTCTCGGATACTCCTCGCTCCTGAAGAACCTAACATCAGGAGTCCATTCAGGAAGCTTCCCCAAGAACACCCTCCCAGGCAAACCAGCCAAGGCCTTTGAATCATCTTGCTCAGCAGAGAAGTGGTAATTCACAGAGATCTCTCTATAGTTTGCAAGTCTCTGACACAACGGATCATGGCTGAAAGGTTGTTCCTTTGTGGTCAAAACTCGCTTGCCTCCTCTGTTCACCGGAACCCACAACTGTATAAGAGAGCCTCTCTCTGTTGTGTAGTCTTTGATGTGCTCAACTGCTTGAACCAATCTCTCTGTAACCGAAGAAACGCCACCTCCTGGTGCAATCCACCACCTTTTGTTCCATTGGAACTCGTCAAGACTCGATCTTTCTGCGGAATCCTGACCGTACATCTGAGATACTGCTCCTGGTGTGCAGATTGCTGATGTGTCTTGAGCTGGAGACCACATGAAGGAAGATGGATCAAAGGGGCTAACGGAAGAAGCTGAAGGAGATAAGTTGAGAAACTCAGATCCATCTGTTGTCTCTAACCAGCAACCATCTAGTAACAATCCGTTCATGAACTCAGTGTCCATCTCCGCGTTCTCTGTTTGAAGGAAACTATCTTCCATGGATGTGTAAAGTTTGCTCTTTTTGACTAAGCTCCTGAAAAAAAATGAAACATTAAGAAAAGAGCTTGTAATGAGTTTTTTGTTCTCTCTCTCTTGTTCCTCTTGCTTACATTTTCAGAAACTGATAGAACTCATGAGTATGGAATTCACCAACCGATATAAAGTAGGAAATTAAAAGGCACAAAACAGTTTAATAAACACGAATCAGGCACAAATCTTGCCTAAATCAAATTCATGATGACAGAATAGAGAATCCAAAGTAAGAAAAGAAAACATTGATTCCTACAAGCTGGTCAAACAATACTGATTTAGCCCAAATGAATAAATAAATAAACGAACTTTATGCTAATCAGCTTCGTTCTTAAGGAAAAATCAGAACTTTAAGCTTCAGAAGAGAAAAATAGAAAGAAAGGAAGAGAAAGAAACTCACAAGTAAGAGAGATTCTCGAAGATTCCTTCCTCTAAAAATTCCCTTTTTATAAACTGAAGTTTCTTTCACTTGTTGTCTGAATCAGAAGGAAATGAGAGAAACCAAATCTCAAACACAATAGAACAAGAAAAGAGGTTTGCCAAAAGATGTCTGGTGGGTTATGTCTCTGATTAAGAAGAAGTACCCTCTTCACGGAAGATGGAAACAAAAGAAAGAATTTTAAAATCAAATATGAAAAATTATAAATATTTGTTGATCGTTATCTCCCCTATAGTACATCGGGACATAGCGATACCTTCTTATTGAGGATTTTGTTTTGTTTTGGTTATTTCATATAATCACATTACAGAACGTCACACTCTCTCTCTCTTCCAGGCTGCTTGGGTTTATTGACTTGAGGAGAGAGATAAGATTCTCCAACTTCTAGAGAGAGAAGGAATAAACAAAAGAGCAATAACATCATGTCTTGTGCAGTGAATATATTTCTATTTATGTAAAAAAAGTCAAAACTTTTTTTTTTGTTAAAAGCAAACGTCACTTGGGGAGAATATCGCCCAATAATCATATGATATTAGAAAGTAAAAGGAATTTATATCTGCACTTGACAAAAAGAAATAGATTTTAAACTATGATTATGAGTGAAATAGTAAAAACCATTATGTTTCTTCACTAGATTAATACTATAACATTTTTTCCTCCGCTGACTAAAGATTAAAATAAACATTTTATGATATGTTTAATTCAATCAGTGGTAGAATAAGATCCTACAAATTTTTGAAAAATTCAAATATAATGGCTGTACGTATCTTTAACAATTGAAAAATACAATATCTGATTTCGCCGGTTGATTCAAAAGTTTATATTTGGAGGATGATTCTTCAACATTTTATTGTGGTGATGACCAAAGCGAATCATTTTCCATTTTTAGACCCTTGTTGCTATTTGAGGACAAGTTAACAAATTCTCATTTCTGTTTATAATTGTCCATCGAAATAGGCCATTTTTGCTACATGCTATAGAAAATCAAAATAATGTAAAAGGCGATTATTCCTATCATACTGTCATAGGCTTAATTGGAGAGGTTAAGTAAATTAAAAGGAACAAGTGGGGGAGTAGGTTCTTCTCTCAACCGAGTTAAGAATATAATTTCTGATCAAATTGACAATATAAAACAGTTCAGTAAAACAAAAAGTGTCTAATATAGTGGAGAGAATTGTGTAACCAATACCATTTCCTCCTCGTGAATAGATACCAGCTGAATTATAATAGAAAATATATTAACTTTTTTGTTAGGCAAAACCATTCATTGATATATCTTCATGAGATAAACTTCGAACCGAAGTTCTCATAAAAATGCAGGATGTTTTAATTGATTGAGCTAAATCTTCATTTATTTCCATTATATTATTTTACAAATTCTCATGCTGTCACGGGAAGTATAGCTTCTCTGCCTCAACTTTTCAGTATACACACGGTTCAATTAGTTACAACTTACCACAGCCAACAAAGAGAGGGAACAAATATCAACATTAATCAAGGAAATTCTAAGTAATTCACAATGATTATGTCATTCTGTTTGTATTTTATGGATCAGATATAGTTATAAGCATCAAACTCTTTTTGGCTAATAGAAGACAAGAGGAATACGTATACATACCAATTATCAACATAAAAAACGTATATACACGTAAATGTTTCTATCCAATACTAGCGTAAGCTAAAAAAGGCGAAACAAAACAAGTGGTGCATGACTCGCTTTCCTCCACTTGGGCTATATGTCTCATCACATATTCCCAAATTAGGTACACACTCCACATAAATTACTCACTTCTAATTTTAATCTAATTATTTTCTCCCTTTTTGCCAATAATAGTAAAGTGTTTCACACTGTATATGTTTTTATTTGGGTCCTACTATAAAAAAAGAAGTTGGATTTGAACATATCAATACGGGGAAATTGCTCATTTTATTCCCCAGCTATTTGCAATGAGAATTTTTATTTCTCAATTATCATTTGCTCACTTTAATTCTTGAATTATGAGTTGACTGCGCAAAATTATGATTAAAAAGTCAAACTTTCGAAAATAAAAACCAATCTTTGGATAATAGACATAAAATGTTAAATAAATTTGTAAATACATCATAATTTTCATTATTATACTTAAAAAAATTCTAAATAAACAATTTAAGATATTTGTTTTGCGATTTTTATTGATATTTAGTTCGAATCTGGTGGATTTCAGGGATTAAATATAATCCAAATTTTGAGATTTCTGTCAAATAATCTATCAAAATTTTATTTGAATTTTATTAGAAGTCACCAAAATGATTCATAGATTTTATTTTTATTTTCTTTTATGTTTAACAATGAAAATTATGATGAATTTATTATGTTATTTAATATTATATGTTTATTATTAAAAGTTTGACTTTTTAATCATAATTTTGCGCAGTCAACTTACACTTCAGGAATTAAAGTGAGCAAGTGATAGTTGAGGAATAAAAATTCTCATTGCAAATAGTTGGGGAGTAAAATGAGCAATTTCCCTATCAATATGACTAATTACTGGATTACTGTTGTAATTAGTTTATATGGAAGCCCATTATCGACCCATATTCTAGAATGTTCTAGCTTTTTCTCCAAGTGTATTCCTCTCCAAGGAAAACCATATATTGTACTCCTATATAAGGAGCTCATTATCGATGGAATAACACACAACCAATTCCTCTCTTTTCTTGCTCTCTCTTCTTACTATAACACGTTATAGTTTGACGAAACAGTTATCTTTTTGATAGCATAATAATAATATCGTGAAAGGTAATGAATCTTCTATTATTTTGCTGATTATTATATTTGTAAGTATATATAGTTTTCTACTATAATTATATATTTACTTTCCATTTTATATGTTAGTATTTACTATAAAATGGTTATAATTTCTTTAGAGAAATTTAAGAAAAGGTAAAATCACCAGAAGTGATATGATATTATTTAAAGAAAAAAATTATCACCAGAAGTGATATATCTGAAATATTAAAAAGAAAAGAATTATCACCAGAAGTGATATATCTAAATCAAAATATTGTATTGAAAACATATAAACTGAAGTTTATAAATGGAAATAATACTACTAATACAAATGTGTTAAAAGAAATTAAAAATTGTTGTCCTGTAGACACAATAGTATAAATATATTTAGTAGTATTTATAAAATATTGTTGTCCAGTAGACACAATAGCAAAGAAATTCTAATGATTTTTAATATTATTTTCTTTTAAAATTAAATTTGTCACCTGAAGTGATAATAAAATAGTACATGTTAATTGTTTTTATTATCATTTTTACTTATACATTTGTATTTAGCTTGATAATATTTATTTATTTTATATTTTATATTTTAGTATTTGCATCAAAAACCACATGACCTGAAGTCTATAAGTGGAGATAATAAATATTATGAAGATGTTAAAATACATCAAGAAAATTTTGTTGTCTTGCAGACACAAAAAACATTATCACCTGAAGTGATAATATAATTTGAGAATTTATTCAAATTATATCTTATCTTTCTAATTTTATTTTAAACTAAATTTGTCACCAGAAGTGATAATAAATGGTATATATTATTATATTATTTATTTTATATTTTTATATTTTTATTTTAATTATTCTCTATATGATATCTTAAATTTTCATGAAAGATTACAAGACCTGAAGTCTGTAAATAACTTTTAACTATATAGAAGATAATGTATATCAATAGAGATGCTAAAAAGCATACTCTAAATAATATTGTCATATTGTCCTGTAGACAAAATAATCTTAGACAATTTTACATTATTTTGAGAAAATATTGAATCATTGATGAAAATCATATCCAATTGGTTATGATCAATTCCCTGAAGTGAATGTGATATACAAGTAAATGGTTAAAGAGGTTATTGATTTTATATTGGAATTCAATTCGAGATAGATGAACCTGAAGTATCATCATCTCGAGGGGGAGAATGGATGAATCCCACAATCAATAATAAATGGAACATCTAGAAGATTATGTTCACACTCAAGATAAACTTGATCATTGATCAAGAAAAGTGTAAGAATCCCAAACTCATAATCCAGAAGATTATACTCAAAAATGAGTAATCTTGATGAATCATATATAAAGTAATTCCAAGGAATTTCAATATACAATAAATGAAAAAGTTAAATAGATGTTATATAGTAAACCAGAAGTTTGCTGAATCTAACATAATTCGGCATGAACTGGTTAGACCATTCCAGTTTAAGAATTATGCGAAGTAAAATACAACATGTAAACATTTATTGAAGAACTGAAAATTCTTCTTAATGATTTCTAATGTGATATTTTATCATAAGAGATTATGATAATACAACAATTATCACTAGCCAAAATAGATTTTGATTCTAATTCATTTTCTAGAGAATATACAAGATAATGTGGTTTAATAACCCATTTTGTGGACTAGTCATCCTCTGTAAGAAATTTCATTGTGTTTTGTAATGCATCAACAAAATAGTTGTATGTATCAATGAAATGCAACCTGA